AGCGGTATAGCAACTTGAATGTGAAATAATTACAACAATGAAAAGTGCAAATTTCATTTTGATTCTTTAATTATTCAATATAAATCAATTATGGGAAAGTACAAGTGGTATTATTGATTGGAAATTTTCCCAAATGGAACTAATATAATTTTAATCAATTTGTTTTTGTTATTAATCGAGATACTTATTGTTGGAATTAAATTGTTTTTAGACCTTTATGATGTCGCATTTGGTAAAGATTTTTATCGTTGTTGTTTATAATTGTGCCAAAATGAAATTTTCCAAAAATGTACTTTTTAGGTACCTATATATAAAGTCCAGTGCCAACACTTTGTATCATTCAACTTTGCTCCCCAAAAATAAATCAAATACTATTTCTGTTTTTATTAGTTTAAGTACATTTCCTGCTGTGCAATGTTTATTGCGTTTCCTCGGTGAATTTTGCTCTCCAAATGTATTTCAAACTATTAATATGCTTTTGGGTTTCAGGAGATTTCCACGCATCTTTCAAAACGGCCACGATTCAACCTTGTGCGATTTTATCCTTGGCGGTTTTAAGCAGTTTGATTTCAAAACCAGGAATGTTTTAATGTAAAAATCGGTTTATTTGTATACGAAAATTTTGCTTTTCTAGCACATTTGAACTCAATAGTTTGACAAACCATTTAAGATTCAGATGAGGATGTTTCGTCTAGACGAAGAAAAATTTGCGAAAAGGTCAATTTGTTGGGTAAATAAAACTTGAACCTGAAATGAAGGTTCATAGAGCTTTAATACGATTTATTTATAAGACAGAATCATTGAATTGAGCAAACAAGTAAAAGCTCATTAAAATGAGGGTCATTTACTTCTTGCGGATATTGGCAGATACTTGGGTCATACAGTTGAATTACCTTTTCCAAATATTGGAACTCATTGGGTAGTTACATTAAAACTAAAACATTTTTTTATTATCATTTTCTCAACTTTTCTTTGATCACAGATCAATAAATAATGTTTCTGATCTCATTAGTCTAATATAACTATGGCTTCATTTTATATAGAAAATCAATGATTTCGTGAGTTCATTTTATTGGTCTGAAAAATTAACATATACCGTTCATATACTTACCTAACTCATAAACAATAATGTACAGGGTGTTATTTTATATATTGGCACAGGGCATCCCATTTAAAAAAAAAAAAAAAGCTAGAAGCATGCAAGATTTCACATTTCTGACATTCAAATTTTGTTTCTGATCATGGTTTCTAAAAATTCAGCCAAAACTGTACAACTTTTGTATTTACACCTTTCTTGTACCTGTAAAGATAAAGGCTGTAGGTGGGGTGTCAATATATAAAAAAAAACTCTGTACAAATAAGTAGAATATTGCGGAACTTATGGGTGGACCTCTGCGGAAAGAGCGCAGCGGGTTCCGCAGCTATCTACTCACCAATATATTGTTGAACTGTTTGTTTAAAAAAGACACACCTGAAATGTGTAGTTTTTGAACTAATGAGAAAAATTCACAATTGAGTGAATCAGGTTAGTATTGTACCTACTTGAACAACATATTGATGAATAGATGGCTGAGGTCCACCCATAAGTTCCGCAACAAGCCACTCGTTTGTACTTGAATAACTTGTCACAATATACTACTAGTTTGGGACCCAAACTAGTAGTACCTATATTGTGACAAGTTATTCTAGCCCAAACTTTGGGTTAGTTTGGGCTAGTTTACATTACTAATTCCTGTTAAAAGGCAAATACACAAAAAGTGGATATTTGTACAAATTCCGACTTTATGTAATAAGTTCGTGTTCAAGTACAAATAAGTGGATTGTTGCGGAAATTAAGAATGGACCTCTGCGGGACGACCGCAGCGACTTCCGCAGCCATCTACTCACCAATATACTGTTGAAGTGTTCAAGCAAGACATTCACCTGAAACGTGTACTTTTTAAACTAATGAGAATAACTCACATTTGAGTGAGTCATGTTAGTATCGTAATTGAACAACATATTGATAAATAGATGGCAGAGTTTCACCCATAAGTTCCGCAACAATTCACTCATTTGTACTTGAATAACTTGTCACATTATGGTACGAGTTTGGTAAAGTAACATTACTAATTCCTGTTAAAAGGAAAATTGACAAAAAGTGGATAATCTTACTAATTCTGACTTTATATAATAAGTTATTGTTCAAGTACAGGGCGTTTTTTTATATATTGACACCCCACCTACGGCCTTCACCTTTACAATAGTAGAGAAAAGGTGTAAACACAAAAGTTGTACAGTATTGACTAAGTTTTTAGAATCCAAGGTCAGAAACAAAAATCGAATGTCAGAAATGTGACATGTTGCACGCTTTCAGCTTTTTCCTTCTTCTTGAAGAGCACAATTTCCCGATTCCAAAACTATATAGTTTCTCTTTATTTGGTTGAGGCATCTCCAACATATTTAGTTCTAAAAATTTTAAAAATATCATCAGAGAAACCAAGTACCTCAAATTTTACCTGCATCAGCTTTCACCTGTACAGGTAGAATGGTTCACAAAATCAGTAGTAGGATATAATTTTGACAATTTTTGGAGCTGAATATATGAGAGACTGTTCAATCAAATATAGACAAACTATATATTTTTGAAATCGGTGCATTGTGCTCTTCAGGAATATAGAATGAAATATAGGGCATCCTATTCGAAAAAATCTGGAAGCATGCAAAATTTCACATTTCTGACATTCAAATTTTGTTTCTAATCATGGTTTCTAAAAATTCAGCAAAAACTGTACAACTTTTGTATTTACACTTTTCTTCTACCTGTAAAGGTAAAGGCTGTAGGTGGGGTATCAATATATAAAAAAACACCCTGTACAAATAAGTAGAATATTGCGGAACTTATGGGTGGACCTCTGCGGGACGAGCGCAGCGAGTTCCGCAGCCATCTACTCACCAATATATTGTTGAACTGTTTATTTAAATGCGATACTCACCTGAAATGTGTAGTTTTTGAACTAATGAGACAAATTCAGAATTGAGTGATTCAGGTTAGTATTGTACCTACTTGAACAACATATTGATGAATAGATGGCTGGGTCCACCCATAAGTTCCGCAACAATCCACTCGTTTGTACTTGAATAACTTGTCACAATATATTATTAGTTTGGTAAAGTAACATTACTAATTCCTGTTTAAAGGCAAATACACAAAAAGTGGATAATCGTACAAATTCTGACTTTATGTAATAAATTCTTGTTCAAGTACAAATAAATGGATTGTTGCGGAACTTATGTGTGGACCTCTGCGGGGCGAGCGCAGCGAGTTCCGCAGCCATCTACTCACCAATATACTGTTCAAGTGTTCAAGCAAGACATTCACCTGAAACGTGTACTTTTTAAACTAATGAGAATAACTCCCATTTGAGTGAGTCATATTAGTATCGTAATTGAACAACATATTGATAAATAGATGGCTGCGGAACTCGCTGCGCTCGTCCCGCAGAGGTTCACCCATAAGTTCCGCAACAATTCACTCATTTGTACTTGAGTAACTTGTCACATTATGGTACCAGTTTGGTAAAGTAACATTACTAATTCCTGTTGGAAGGCAAATTGACAAAAAGTGGATAATCTTATAAATTCTGACTTTAAAAAATAAGTTATTGTTCAAGTACAGGGTGTTTTTCTATATATTGACATACCCACCTACAGCCTTCACCTTTGCAATAGTAGAGGAAAGGTGTAAACACAAAAGTTGTACAGTATTGGCTACATTTTTAGAATCCATGGTCAGAAACAAAAATTGAATGTCAGAAATGTGAAATTTTGCACGGTTTCAGCTTTTTTCAAATTTCTATATTCTTGAAGAGCACAATTTCCCGATTCCAAAACTATATAGTTTCTCTATAATTGGTTGAGCCGTCTCCGGTTCTAAAAATACTATCAGAAAAACCAAGTACCTTAAATTTTACCTGTAGCTTACACCTGTACAGGTAGAATGGTTCACAAAATCAGTAGTAGGATAATATTTGTAAAATCTGTTTTTTTTTTAAAGATAATTCCCCAAGTCAAAAATTTAGTAACTATGTTGACAACACAAGCCTTTTCTACATAAAAAATTTGAAAGCATTGACAATTTTACATTGTAGTGCCAACATATTGTCATTTTGACTTTTATCTTTAAAAAAAAACAGACTTTACAATTTTTGGAGCTGAATATGTGAGAGACTGTTCAATCAAATATAGACAAACTATATATTTATGAAATCGGTGCATTGTGCTCTCCAGGAATATAGAATGAAATATAGGGCATCCTATTTAAAAAAAGCTGGAAGCAGGCAAAATTTCACATTTCTGACATTCAAATTTTGTTTCTGACCATGGTTTCTAAAAATTCAGTCAAAACTGTACAATTTTTGTATTTACACCTTTCTTCTAACTGTAAAGGTAAAGGCTGTAGGTGGGGTGTCAATATATAAAAAAACACCCTGTACTTACAATAAATTTCGATTATTGCATTGTATTATATCAGCGACACCCCGCACACCTTTTATGAGATTTTGGGATTCGGTCAATTTTCCTGAAAATTTGATATGATGCTCCTCTCAACATTCTGATTAAAAGTGTTCATAGCCACAACTTGATCCTATGACTATAGTTTTTGAGATACCTACAGGTAGTTTAATGTCCAAGAAATGCACACATTTTATATGCATTTACATCTGTCTGTCACCTGAGCGTGGGGATACCGGTCAATCCTGGTATATCATTAGGTGAGGTAGATGTAAATGCATATAAAATGTGTGCATTTCTTGGTCATTACTACCTGTATCTCGAAAACTAGTCATAGGATCAAGTTGTGGCTGTGAACATTTTTAATCAGAATGTTGAGACGAGCATCATATCAAACTTTCAGAAAAATTGACCGAATCCCAAAATCCCATAAGAAGTGTGCGTGGTTTTATTTGCATCATCGGTAATCTGCAATCGGTTTTGGGTAAAACCACTGATAAATATTTGCAAAAGAGATAAAACTTGTTATAACATACCTATCAAAACCCATCATAAGCTCTCTTTATCGACAAGCGGTCATTGCCAAAATTTGTTTAGTGCCAGATAACATTATCAACAACAAAAATGCTTATCTTAAAACGTGGGGTTCGTTCTTGTTTATGGAAGATAAATTCGAATTTTTGTTAGAAATTTGGCAGTGAGTGGCAATCTGCAGGATAGTGTTGTTGTCAGTGTTTTTGTTCATAATCTATGGGGATTTTCAATAGGTATATTTAATTCTAAAAATATTTGGTAATTCCCGTTTTGAGTTTTGCATTAGCACACATTCGTGAAATCGTATTTATAGAATATTTTGAGTGAGGTTAGCAGTTGGTTACAAGATAAATTATGATGGATTTTTAAATTGAAATTAGCAAGAATTCAGATGATACCTACCTATGTTTATGGTATAAATAGGGTATTTTGAATGGTTCTCAGTATTTCATGTGAGTAACAGGTTTTTTATACAACTGCATTATGTTTTAGTTGAAATTATAAAAGTTGTTACAGGAAAGTAAAACAAATTTTATCTAGCAGAAATCCCTAAGCTCTTATCAAGAAGTGTCTTAAATTCCATCATTAGGTGCTTAGACATTTCTATTGTTTGAGACAATTAAAATCATTCCATAAGTACATGTAAAAATCGAGCTGAATTTGTGTCTAAAAATACCTGTAATCTGTAAGTTTGGAAAGTTCAACGTTCAACAATAGTAGCAATTTATAAGAATTTTTCATTTCCTCCAAACTTGTCTGTCAGGCTTAACAATTATCAAACAAAAGCACCATCATAATTTATTCCTAACGCGTCACAGTTACGCGCTTCTTGCTTGTTACCCAAGATAGTCTTGATTTGATTTAGAAAAAGAACAAATAAATAAGTACAAAGAAGTAGCAGTATTGTTCAGCTATACTTTCTTTAAATTCATTTGATTTCCTTTTACGTAAGACTTAAAAGTCTAATAAGCCACCATCAGACCATAGAATTCAATTGAAAAAATTAGTTATAAATCCATAAAAGCAAACGATAACAGCATGCATCCTGGGTATGACTATAGTGTGTCGTCATCATGTCTGCCTGCATTTCAATGATCAGTATGTATTGATAATTATATAAACGAGTTTTTGTTTGATATTATTAAACAATAATTATTGGATTAGATTCATACAATCTGTTATCTGTATAGGAAGTTTCATATTAAATAATGAATGAATCTAGGCATATTGCCATACGACAAATTATTAAACACTTTATAAAACTAGATTCAGAACTCCTCCTTGAAGTGTTGATCACAAAATAATCATGCTGTACCATTTCTGATCGTCTTCTTTACGAACCTGATTCTCTATCTTTCAACCACTCAAGCTGATGTTGATTTATTTTTTTTTGACTTTTGTCACTTGATTCCTATTGTCTCAACAGTCTAGCAAGTCAAGTAACAAATTTGCCCCATGCAACAATACCTGAGTGATTTTTTTCATTTGATTCCGGGTTTCATTTCATCATTGCATAAGATGTTGGTTTCCTGGTCTCTTGTTGCATCATGTCTTTTGTAGATTCTTATTCCGGTGAATTCCAATTATCCAGATGGTTTTCTCTGCCATTCTTCTTGGGAAATTCCCTGTGAGTTTGAGTTTGGACGTTTCTCACCAGAAGTGCCAGCTTATTATTATTATTATTATTATTATTATTATTATTATTATTATTATTATTATTATTATTATTATTATTATTATTATTATTATTATTATTTATTATTTTACAATAAAGGGCGGCAAAGCCGATGAGTCTATCGATTGGTTTTTATATCAGTTCACAATTTTAAGTTCATAATTAATTGTAACATCCATTGTATCTCAGATATATATGGTATTATTTGGTCACTAGTTTACTGGGGATAGTGGACAAACTGCTTATTGTTTTCACTTATATCTCTGTCTACACGATTTTTGAAGGAGTTAACATTAGTGGCATTTACCGTACCGTGTCTTGACTTCCACGAATACACAACCCTGTTTGTTAAGAAATTGCGTCTTAACAATTTGGAACATTTTTCCTTGTTTAATTTCTTGTTATGCCCTCTCAGGTGCGCATTATCGGCAGGAATAAAGATGTTAATGATATTGCACTCAAAAGTCAATCAAATCTCCACGCTGTCTTCTTTGGTAGAGAATTGTGAGATTAAGGCGCTGTACACGTTCTTGATAAGAGAGATCGTTGAGCTCTGAAGGGATTTTAGTTACCATTCTCTAGAAGATCTATATCTTTGACATATTAAGGACTCCATATACTTTGTATATACTTATTCTAGTTTTGGTCTTATGTATGTCTTGTAAAGCTCAAGTATCATATCACTAGATAGGTTTTTGAACGACTTTTTTATAAGGTAAATCAAGGTTTCACTTTTTTGACAGTTGTTGAGATGTGACACTCTCATTTGAGGTCTTTTGTGACTATCAATGGTGACTATTAAGCCTAGATCTTTCTGTTTTTCGACTGGAGTCACCTCAGTGTTTCCTATAGTGTACCTATGATTGGGATTAGTTCTTCCTAAATGAAGAACAGTGCAATTAGATTCGTTTAATGGTATAGTCCATTGCTTAATTTTATCAAGATCGCTTTGCATTTGTAGGTATTGGTCACTTGCTCTGCACGCAGAATTTGTGTCGTCTGCAAAGGATGAGATGTCACACGCAAGATCTGCAGGCAGGTCACATGTATAATATAAACAGCAAAGTTGCAATCACCGAGCCCTGTGGTAGTTACTCCGCTATGCACCTCGCGACTACTGGACAGAACATTCCCTATTTTTACTTGGAAGGTCCTTCCTTGGATGAGTTCGCTGATAACTCTATACACATTTTAGCAGGAGTCTCCCGAAAGGTACCTTATCAAAAGCTTTTTCAAAATCTATGTAGACAATGTCAAATGGTGTATTACTTTCATCCATTTGAGTCCATTTGTTGAATCTTTCCAGCAGGTTGGTGAATGTTGATCTTCATGGTAAGAAGCCGTGCTAAGAATCAGGTATTACTTGCTGTTCTAGTAAAAAAGATGTTAGCTCATTCACTAGGATTTTCTCCATGCATTTACAGAGTACGCTGGTGAGACTCCTTGGTCTGTAATTTGATGGTTCCAGTTTGTCCCCCTTCTTAAAGATTGGTACAACTATTGAGGATTTCCATATTTCTGGAATAGGAACTCCTTTCATTATAGAGTTTAGAATAGTGGCTATAGGACTGGAGAGCGATTGGGAGCAGTTTTTCAGAAAGAGGAATTGGGGTGAATTCTATATTACTTATCTCTGTAGCGATGCGTAGTTCAGGTGCAAGTGTTGGTAGGGTTGTTATCTTCTTGAGTGAAGACTCTCTGGAACTGGTCTGCAAAGCAATTGACAATTTAGTCTCATTGTAAGTAGTCTGATTCGTGTTAGTGTTTCTGAGCGCAAAATTTTGGAGACGGGAGTTTAAGGAATGTTTTATATAGGAGTAAACTTTCTTAACAGGAAAAGTCTGTTCATATTTTTGCCTAGCCTGGTTTAAGATCTGCTTCGTTATATTATTTTGTTGTTTGTAATGATAATAATCTGTGTTTGTTTTTGTCCTTTTATACTTATCCCAAAGTTTTCGTTTGATGTTGATTTGCTTAAAAACTTCCCAGTTAAGCCAAGGTATCTTTGAATTGACATGTTTAGGTTTTAAGGGTACATGTAGCTTAATAGTTTTTGTCACTAAACTTATTAGCTGTGTTGCATTAATTGGGTACGTGCAGGCATCGAACTCTCTGTCTTGTTCCTCAAGCTTGGCTGATCATCGGAAAAGTTTCCTCTGTTACCTTTCCTCCTGTCGTAGGAAAGGGGGAGTTGTGACAATGTTCAGTTATGTACTTGTTAATTTCATCATAATTTGCTTTCCAGAAATTTCTTTTATAGATCTTTTTAGTTGGCGTTAGTGATTTGATAGCTGTTGAAGAAATCTTCTGAGCATTGATTGTGAGGGTAGACTATGTAAGTTTATCCCAGTTGATCTTTGTGTAATTGAAGTCTCCAAAAACAAATGTTGGAATTTTTGACTCTAAGGCCTCTACTACTGTGGCGGTAAATTCTTTATTTTGCTCTGGTGTTCTTGACGATTTGGGATGATATATGCAAGCCGTTACAAAGGTAAAGGTGATGCTTGTAATTTCCAACCAAATTGCTTCTATTGGATGTTCTGTTTTGTAAGGTGCTTAATTTGCTTGCGTTTGGTGACCTGCTACTGTATTTTTGACAAAAATGTAGATACCTCCTCCTGTTTGGTTATCCCTGTCTAAAGCGAAACAATGTGTAATCAGGAAGATGAACAAAACTGTCAGGAAGATCTGGGCGAAGCCATGACTCTGTTATTAATGCAATGGTTGGATTTATTTTGTTAATGCTAGCTTTAAATTCATCCACTTTTGGTACAATTGAACAGAGGTTGCTGTACCAGAAGAAGACTTCAAATACAGTTTGAGAATTAAGTTTTTTGAAGCTGCCCTAGTAGAAGCTTTCATAATCTTTGGTATTTTATAGTTAAGTCTATCTCACCTTCAGCTTTTCTGGTTTCTAACTCTGAGATTACTCTGTTTTTAGATAGGTACGTTGACTGGGAGTGAGGTCATAGAACTTGATACCTATATGTGTCACTTTGCTCTAGTTTACTTTTCAGTCTAAGCACCTGCAAGGCTTCTTCCTTGGTTGGGAATGTGGCTCTTATAGGTCTTTTCTTATCTGCTTCGTACCTTCCAATTCAAGTTGTTACAACTTTTGCGGGTTCAGTTAAGCCGTTTATTTTACGTATTATGCTAGTGGTTATTTCTAAATCAAAAGCTGTTTTCTGTTCTGGCTCAGGTGAGTTTGACTCTTCCACTCCAAAGATAAGAATGTTCTGCGCTCTGCGTTCACGTTCTTGCATTTCTTGAATTGCTGGCTTGGTTGGAGAGTAGTCTTAAAACTTTTCCTGGTAACAATCAGAGTATAAATAAATTTCCTTTTTCGATTTTAATCTGCCAAATGCACAATGTTTTCTCTGTAAAGCTTGCCCACCTTTGTCTAAAATTCAGTGAATTTCCCCACCAGGCAAACTCGCTGAAAGCCAGCGGCTAAATATAAAAAAGTAAAAGCAAAATTCGCTTACAGAGTGCCAAACATCAAACAGTCGCGTTTCGTTATAGATAGTGACTTTGATAATCTCTAAATATTGTTAAAAACTCAGGCACGTTTTTTGTCGGTTTCACCATCGCTTTCCTGCGTGATTTCGATAATAAATAATTTGCATTGTTAAAATAATGTGCGGTATTTTGTAGAAAACTTATTATTGCTCGATTGTGATAAATTAGCAGGATGAAATTGTAAGTAGTTGAGAGATTAGTAGTATGTGTAGGTACTGCTAATATAAACATCAAATGTTCTTTGTGCCATTGTCTCAACTAGTGACTTTGTTTGTGATCCCCTCTTTGATAACTTTCTCTTCAATATTAAAATATTTAATAATTCGACAGTTTGCTCACACGTGTCTTGTCCGCATTTGCAAATTAATACAAATAGAATTCGCAAACATATGGTTATATTTAATTTAAATTCCGCGAAGTGTGCATTGCATTTTATAATTTTCATTAGTAAGGTAATGGCAATATTTTGCAAAAAAATTAAAATGCGGCCTCCACTAACATCATACTTCCGTGTTAACCTTCTGCAGATTTAACCTTTGATTTTTGCGCTAAAGACAACCGACCTCCAGTTCAATGTGAATGAGTTTAAACCTTATTTACATGATAGAGATTACCTACAATAATTTTTCTTTTTTTTTGGCCAATAATTCAATTAATCAATTTATCTATATTGATAATTCTCATTAGGTTTTTGCTTGTTTCAGATTAAACATCATGCCTACTAAACCCAAAGGTAAACCCAAAAGTTCCCATAACAAGGAATCAGAGGATATTGAAGTGGGGTCCATTCATGAAGAGTTAGAAGTGCCTGTAAGTAATTATTCAATTTATTATTTGTTTGTATCTTCTTGTGATTTTTTTTAACTTAATTTTTGTTCATATATAGAAAGTTTCTTTTGCTTCTAAAATCGTCCTCTACACGAATTTTAATATCACTTTTTTTTTGTTTTCTTTTTTAGCTGTTTATTTTCATGCTTGTAGGTGGCATCGGAACTGGTGTTTCGGAAAATATGGAAGATCAAAAAATTCCTTCACACGATCAAGAAGCGAGATTTACTCGACAGTCCGGAATTTAGATGTTCTGTAAATGGAGTTACCACTTTTTGGAATATCGCTGTTCGATTTTGGAAAGGTGAGTCCAGATTTCAGTTTTTTTCCAATCAAGCATTTCTTATCTAAAAACCAATTGAAAATTGAGGATTAATCAAATTTAGAGAGCATTAGAGGAAGTCGGAGAGATTATTATGCCTGCACCCGCATCTACTTTCGAATTAAGATCGGGGAATTTCTAATTATAGACAGGATCCATTGAATTTTTTTGGAACATTCTATATAAATCTCAAGAATAACCGTTTCTGTTACTTGTATAATAAATATTAAGTAATAGGTATATCTTTTTCTAGGATGTTCTTTGTTTGCATAAAATATTTGCTATATAAAGTCAGTGGACTGAAATAATTGTATAAAAAAAAAACTCAAATGAATTGTTTATTGTTTGTTCTCGGATCTCTTAATAAATATTGTAATTTGTCAGATAAAAATTAAGTTCAATAATCTTTCTAAATTATCAATTGAAGCTTTCTCAAACACTAAAAGCATAGTTTCCAAAGTTAAAACTGTTCTCCTTGTCTATATTACATATGACACACCCACCCGTATAGTCCTTTAATAATACACCTTGGACTGGAAAAAAATACCGACCTGACCTTCATTACCCATTTTACGTAATCCTCATTGATTGATAACTAGTTTAAATATGAAACTGTTTCTAGGCGAAATAATTGCCAATTACGTCACTGTAGGCAGGCGCGCTTTTACCCAACTGGATTTTATTATAAACTTCTATTTATTTTGTAGGTGCCAATGGTAAAAAAGTCACTAATCCCCTGGTGATTTGTCTAAATTTGACCGGGTGCGAAACAGAAGAAACTGGTCAAGCCAGAGTCAGGTTTCAGTTTGGTATTTTTGATGCTCACATAAAACATTGGGAATGTTGCCCCATTTCCAGCGTTGTGCTCAACTTACAAAACAACAAAGAACTTCTATCGGTAGGATACAAAAGTTTAGGGATCTTGGATAGACATATAGACAGTGGTAAGTACTTCGATTTTCAACTAACTAAAAAAAACTCAACAAATTTCACTTTAGAAAAAGATGTAAGGATAATGGTAAAAATCCAAATAATCCAAAGTGATGAGGAAATGCATAGTTTATCTCAAGACATGGCAAGACTGATGATATTAGAAGACAGCAAAGATACCCTTATCGAATGTTACTGTGATTCTGAAAATAAGGACTGCCAAAAAGCCCCTTTGAAAGTACATAGCTGGATTATAAAGACTAGGAGTGAGAAATTGGGTAAAAGACTGGAACAATATAATGACGAAAAAAATAAGGTAACAAACCTCAATACCAAAAAAAAATAATTTGTGTTACAAATATTTTATTTCAAGGGTATGAAATATCTTTTGTCCCTGCCAGAATATTCTTATGGTGTCGTCAATGAACTTGTCAGGTACATTTACACTGACAAAGTTGATTGTGCTGACAAATATGCTTCTAAACTATTACCTATTAGTGCCATATATAATATGCAAGGTAATATACCTGATATTAAAAAAAAAAACAACTAAAATACTAAAATCATGCATTATTGTTAGGTCTTAAAGGTCTTTGTGAACGTCATTTGATAGAAAGTCTAACGCCGACTAACGTAGCTAATATCCTTCTCATGGCGGATCAATGCAGATGTGAAAATCTTAGAAAAGCTGCTTTACATTACTGTGAAGATTCAGATGAAATCAAAGGCAATGTTCACATGCCAGGCAAAACTTTAGCTTGGCGTGTAATGGAAATGGTGAATCCGGATTTGTTTATGGAAGCTTGCGAAAGTATAGGAAGCTCTTCTAGTAATTTAGATAGTCCTGGAACCCCAGGTGGTTCCTGGAGCGATTAAAGTACCTGAATGTATTAATAATAATTAGTGTTAGTGTTGCTGAGTACAAGAAATATTTTTGTATAATAATTATTATTTCAAACTATGTATATCAATGGCATATTTAGTTATTAACACAGTTTAATAGTGAATAATTGGTTACCTATTTCAAAAATCTCAATTTTTCTAAAACATTTCCCAGCATTTTTTTTATACCTATTATTTAATAATTATATTTTACTTAGATTAATAATTATGTGTCTGAATTTAAATTGGCTATAAGCTACAATAGCTACATTAATTTATAATATTTATTAGCTTTATTAGGACTGCTATTATGAAATGCTGCATTTTTACATGATTTGTATTTATGACTACTTTTGGGTTAGTTTGATTCAATTTTACTACCTATATAAATGTATATTTATATTAAATATATGTATGTTTTTTTTTGTATTGAACTTTATCAATTTTTATCGATCAATGACAGAGTAAGATTATGAATATGAATCTATCCCAGAGCTGGGATCGTTACTTGAAAAAAGTAACGCGTTACTTTACAGTTACTTTTGCTTAAAAATAACTCGTTACTTAAAATTTACAGTTACTTTCGAATAATGATAACTTTATTTTTCGTTACTTATTGGAAAGTAACGCGTTACTGTAACTTCGTTACTTTGAAAGTAACTTCTTTACTTTAAAAGTAGTTCGTTACTCTTAAAGTAACGCGTTACTTCAAAAATAACTATTTACGTCGAAAATTGCGTTATTCCCTAATTTGACTCACCAACACAGCAGTCCAAACAATCAAATAAGACCTATACGAAATGCCAATATATTTTTAGTTTGTGACTCCGACTATGTGAAAGAGTATTCTTGCAAAATTCAAACGGATTAAGGATTAAGCGACTGAATAGAGTGATTTTGGACAAACCTGCTCTTTGAAGTGTCCCAGTGTCTGCATATAGTGTCCTTAGAGCAGAGGCGGCGCGTGGTACGCCCAAAAACGATGATTTCGAGCTTTCAAAAGAAATTTTCTGTACTACCAACATTTTATTTGACGTACAATGTTTTTGGATTACTTATTTTCCTTTTCCTCACTCGTCAATTATTCGTAAAGAAGATAAACAAATTGAGAGAACGAGTAACTTTCATAGTAGCTAGTAACGCGTTATTCCAGCGTTACTTCAGAAAAGTAACGTCGTTACAGTTACTAATCAATCAATCTGAAAAGTAACGAAGTTACCAAGTAACGCGTTACTTTCAGTAACTCGTTAAAGTAAAGTAACTTTTTTTGTCGTTACTCCCAGCTCTGATCTATCCTAATCATCTTTCCTCTCTATGCTGCCTCCAGGCCCATTCTCAACAACTTTACATACGAATCTGACATGGTCTTCAAGAAGGCCTTGCATCAGAAGAAGGACTCTCCTGCAAGGTTTCTCAGGTTAATGAATTTTCCGATGACAGCGAGCTGAACTACTATGGCAGCCCTTCCCACATTGCCAAAAAGAAGCTCTTAGAACACATAATCTCCAAGTTATTTGTGGTTCTAATCAATTCCGATGACTCCTTGGACCTTCCTAATAATGAATATATTGGGAGTGGTGGTAGTAATAGTCCAAATTTTTGAATTACATCGACTGCAGAAAATTAGCCGTCTATTATCAGAATGTGAGAGGTCTTAGAAAGAAATTAAATGAGCTCTTGGCGAGCACTCGCTCATTAGAGTATGATATCGTATTTTTGTCGGAAACCTGGCTCAATGATGGCATCTTGAACTCTGAAATATTTGATCTGCGTTTCAGTGTCTTTCGGAAGGACCATAATTATAGTGAACTACATTGTCAGCGTGCTGGTGGAGTTTTGATTGCTACCTCCAATGATATCCAAGCAACTGTTCTGGTTCTGGATTCCTCTGTTAACCTGGCCTACGAAGATGTATGGGCTCGGCTGCTCTTTGATCATATTAAGGTCATCACTTGTTGCGTTTAAATTCCACCTAATTCGAATGTTATCAATCGTTCTGTGATACTTGCGAATCTCTGAAAAATGAATATGTTGATCATAAATTGTTTCTGTGTGTGGTGACTCTTATTTTCCCAATATCCAGTGGTCGGTAGAGGATGATACATTCATCCCTTCAGAGCTGAATTCCACTTGTGTTGAAGCAGTTTTGGATTCCATGTTTTTTCTGGAACTGCCATAATCGAATTTTGGATTTGATCTTTTCTGATGAATCTGCGAAGTCTACTGTTTTGTTGTGCTCAGATCCACTATTAAAGATCGACCCTTCACACGGCCATCGAATGCTACTTCGACATTCACTATACTCCCAAATTGAAGAATATTAGTACCCCCACTTTCTATGTTTTCGACCGTGCCAATTTTACGGAATTAAATAATTTCTATAGTTCAACTGACTGGTCATTTTTGGGAACCACTTTGGCCGTCTAGAAATTTTATGAGATCCTACTCGATGATATAGATATCTATGTCCCAAAAAGGACTCTTATAGGTCAGAAATATCCCTGCTGGTTTGGCAAAGATCTTCGTAAACTTATTGCCAAAAAAAACAAACAGATCGCACAAAAAATTTAAGAGATCTTGCTTGCAGAGTGATTATGAGGTCTTTTCAAATATAAGGCGAGAAGTCAGGTTCCGGACTGAATTGTGTTATTTAACATTTATTTCTAAAGCGGAACATCTTATTCCCGAAAACATCAAACATTTTTGGTCATACGTGAAGAGCCTAACAGGTGTTTCTGGTCTGCACAGCCTAATGCAGTACAATAATCAACCCCTCATTGATTCTAATGATATTGCTGATGCGTTTGCCTCGCACTTTCAGTCCTGTTATTCAAATCATGAAGATGTGGACTTGTCCAACAACAGCTCTGTGCAATTCTCTGCCACTTTGTCTTTTCATATCTTTACCGCAGAGGAAATCACCGAGAATTTATCATCCTTGGTTAAATCTAAGAGAGCAGGCCCTGCGATGGCATTCCACCCTTACTGTTGAAATCTTGTTGCTCTTCCCTTGTAAACCCATTGACAGCTCTTTTCCAAAGATCGATAGATGTAGGTTACTTTCCGCCCTTATGGAAAAAATCTTATCTTCTTCCCGTTTTTAAGGCGGGTGATAGGTCGGTTGTCAGTAATTACCGTGGAATATCTCTTCTCTCTGCTTTTCCTAAACTTTTTGAGACTTTATCTCGGTTGGCCCTGGTTTCGATGGCTTGCAGTCTGATCTTGACAGACTTGTTGTGTGGTGCGAATCAACTTCCTGTCAATTAATATCTCTAAAATGTAAATCTGTGAAACAAATCAATGACGTCAAAAACGTGCGTCGGTGCTTAAACCAGAAGTCATTCATTTTAATTTGTCAAAAAAATTGAATATGTCATATGAATTAATCTACGACAACTCTTTTTTTTCAAGTTTCAAGGTCAAGTATTAACCCTGGTGAAACGAACCTTATCTGTTTCCACAAATGTCGGAATCCATTGCATAATACTTATACGAATAATAATTTAATAATTGAAAATCTATCATCTATTAACGATCTAGGAATAATTTTCGACACGGACCTAACATTTAATTTACATATTGATAGCATTGTTCTGAAGGGATTTAGGATGCTGGGCTTCATTAGGAGAAATTCAAAGCACATTAGAGATACAAAAGCAATCACTTGTTTGTATAATTGTCTGGTTCGAAGTTTGTTAGATTACTGTTCTGTCATGTACAAAGACTGGAAAGAGTTCTAAGTAAATTTCTCAAATACCTGTTGCATAAACTTCACTTTCCTTATAATAACGTTCCTATGACACTACACTTTTGCTTTGTGGTGTCAAAAGCCTTGAGTGTCATCGAAGAAATGCTTATTTGTTGTTTCTCTAAAAATTTCTCAATGGAGTAATTGCCTGCACTCATCTTCTAAACTTGATCACATTTTTAATTCCAATAAGATGTACAAGACAAGTGCAGTTATTTTACTAGCGTTATCACAGAACTAACTATGGTCTTAATGCTGTTGTAGATCGTCTAGTATATAATTATAATAGGTACCTATTTCTCCGATTGTGATCTTTTCTCTTTTAGTTTGGTATGTGTTATAGGAGGATGTTGACAGATGTGTAATTTGCCTTTCCTGTAGGGAGTGGCTGATTGTGCCACTTCGTTAGTCCTTTGTTGGTTGTGAATCTTTGTTTTTGTTTTGTATCTTTGTACCATTTAGAATATTTTATTCTGTAGTGTATTGAATTTGTGAATAAATAAATAAATAAATAAATAAATAAAAATCCATATTTTGTAGAAGATGAACTGCATCATGTCCAACATACTGAATGTTTCATGAAGGCTGTTTCTCCCTTTTAAAGAATACGCTTAGGCTCTCCCGTGACACTAGAATATTTTTTTATTCGTTCCTTTGCCTATTTTCATCTGGATATGTTAGTCAACTTTATCCACTAATATAAGAAATGTCGTAACATTCAATAAATCATTTGCATCTATTGCTTAACTGAAATTGTTCGGCCACTTGCTTATACCCTTATACTGGAGAACCGAGTGGAGAACGCTAATTGGCGGACGAAATTTCGACCAGAACGTATCTTTCAGTACATAAGAAAAAGACAAGGTCATTAAATCTTCCATGAAATTTCAACAGAAAACAGAATAAAATTTAATATTAATTATGCCGCTTCCACCTGATTGGCAGTAACATCCCTAGGCCTTGTCACCCTTTTGTAGAACTTCATTTAATTTGTTCTGATAATTTTTTGACTTAACGTCTTACAACCAAACGGTCAACATCTGGTTAGATGAACAGGCCGATTATTTGTTGGGTCTCCCATCTGAGGGTCTCCCTACCTACCCACTGCTGGGTTTCAGCTCCTGTTTATGGCACTTTTATGGCCAATAAAAAATAATAATAAAATGCATATGAGTGAGAATTTTTTTCTGGGATGTATAGTAGGTATATTTATTATGATCCCAGATCATCATGAATGAATTAGACTTGTTATAACGCTGAAGGTGGATAGCCTCTAGTATGTCAATGATTTTTAAGAAAATGGTGTTCAGTTTATCTTTTTGCATTTTCACCCTTGTTTAGTAATAGTAGTCACTAGTCAGTCAGTGTTATTTTATTGAAACACAATCAAATCAAAAGAAGTAACTAATTTAATCATCACAGTTATATACATAAATTATATGAAAAGTTACCAGTCCTATTCCATATGTTCGTGTTGAGCTTGTTGTTCAGATTCCCTCCAATTCTTTTCAACACTTTCCACAATCCATTTCCAAACTCTGGATTTTGAAAAATAATAACAAGAACATACAAGTATAAACAACCAGGAAATTACAAGAAACATGTCTGGATCTTTTGAAGGAGAACTAACTACAGGACCAGCGAAATCTTGTGAAGTTACCACAGAGCCTTCTACAGGTTCAATATTAGTATGTTTGTTGATGAACTTGATGAAAGCTTCTAAATTATATTCTGATCCATTGTATCTTACTAAAGGTCTTCCATTATGGAAAAGTAATAATGTTGGAACTCCAACAATGCCGTTTTGTGGGTTGAATAAATGATATTGCATAGCATTAATAGCAACCATTTTAATCTCAGGAAATGCTCTGGGCAAGGCATTAAAGTGTGGAGCTGCCATACTAGAAAAAGGACAATTTTTTGAATAAAACAATACTGCGATACATTGGCCAACAGCCTGTTTTTCTGAAGAAATCTTTGGGTCTGGAAGGAGTAACTTTATAAGTTCAATATCATTAACTAATTGTACTGTTGTAATGTTCCCGCCTCTTATGCAATTAAGAAGCTTTATTGAAGAAGAGTTTGAATCAGTTGAATTTGTATTGTTTTCAATGGTTACATTGGAAAATGCACTTTCTGAGTCACTGTCTGGTGGTGTGGATACAGGAGAATCAGGAAATGATCCAAATTCTGGTTGACTGTCTTCGAAAATTGGCTCGAGGTTTTCGTCTATGACCTTTTTATCTTTGTTGGGGTCTACTTCTGCAACGGCTTCACATACACAGTATGCTAAAAATTAATACAAGAAACTGGTATGAATGTTATGCAAAGAGGCTTACCTATTAAGCTGGACAGGCACAGATATTTTACAATGGACATTGGAGAAGCTATCATATTGTGAAATTGAATAATTTTAGTTTTTTTAGGAAAGTTTTATCAAAATCAAAACAATCTTTTTGGAGTTATAGGTTAGGTTAGAATTTGTAGCGTTTTCTTTATGTATTGCTTCAGGTCAGGAAGGGTACAAGGTTAGTGCTTGAACTGCCTGGTAGAGCAGTATTATTATAACTATTAAAATTGAATATATTTATTTAGTATGTGTTTTATTATTTTAGCTTTAAACAACAAGTTCTGTAATCATAGGTTCGTCCTCCAAAGCTTGCACAATATTTTTCGCAGTAAGAACCGCCATTTCGTTTCTAGTTTCAATGCAAGCGCTTCCAATGTGAGGCAAAATAACGCAATTTTTGAGCTTGAAAAGAGGATGGTCCAATGGTAAAGGTTCCGGAGTCATTACGTCTAGGCCTGCGGCCCAGATAGTTTTGGATTCCAAGGCCCTAACCAAATCGTCTTGATCTACAACCCCTCCTCTGCTCGTGTTAACAAAAATGGCGGTTTTTTTCATTTTCTTAAACGCCGCTTCGTTGAACATTTCTTTGGTTTCAGGTGTTAAGGAGCAGCTTACACTAATAAAGTCGCTTTCAGCTAAAAGCTCCTCAAAGCTGACTTTTGTAGCTCCAATTTCTTGAGCTTCTTGTCGCTTTTCAGATCTATTGTAATAAATGATTTTTTTGGGGCCAAAAGGTTTCAGTCTTTTGGCAATTTCCTGACCAATCCTTCCAAATCCTACTATTCCAACAGTGGAGCCTTTGAGACCAGGCCCGCACATCCAAAATGGAGACCAAGCTTGCCATCCGCCAGTTCTAGCTTCTTCATTCGACTCCAAAAGTCTTCTACTGGTAGCCAACAATAAAGCAACAGCCAACTCAGCTGTAGCATCAGTAAGAATATCAGGCGTGTAAGCCATTTTGATGCCTCTTTTTTTGATTTCTTGCACGTCCAAATGATCGTAGCCCACCGACATGGTTGCGATAACTTTCAAATTAGGGCCCGCTTTGTTTAGAATTTCAGAGTCGATTTTGTCGGAGAGCAAACAAAATAAACCGGACTTGTTTTCGATGTTTTTTAACAATTCGGCGCGTGGTACTGGGCCTGAACCAGCCCAAGAAGAAACAGTGCATCTAGAAAATTGAGCAAAAAGAGGACTTTTAGAAAACGCCTATGGAGCACTGGGTGCAGTGAAAACTTTTACAAATGAACACACTTTTTTTCAAAATGAATGAAAGTAACGAGTGAGGTTATGGATAATGAATTGTTATTTTTTAATTTTTAAAATATTTGAAGAAATATGAGCTAAAATCAAGCTAAAATGCTAACTTACGATTGATTTAAAATATCCAAAGCTTCCTTGTTTATTTCTCTCGTCACATAAACTGCTGGTTTGGCCATTTTCAAGCTGAAAAATCTAAATTTTTGTCCGGAACACAGCACTTTTTCTGCAAGAAGTTTACCAAGGTCAAGGAGCGGACAATTTTTTTTGATTAGCAGTCGCGTGGATAACATATCTAGAGAAATAAATTAAGACAAGGGTGTTTAATATAGATAATAGCTATAGAGACTATAGAAAGTCAAAAGATCAAAAAAAGCCAGAGATAATCCAAACATCTTCACCGTAACTTTATCACTGGCGCTAAATTTGAACTATCTATTTCCGTTATTTATAAGTTATTTGTTTTTTCTTGCAGGCATTATGCAGAAAAAATAAATAATTTAGCAACAGTTATTTATGTCATCAGGCCAAGAACAAGAAGTGGGTCTTTTTGGGCTGAGGCTGACTAAGCTCAGCTCGATGTTTGAATGAATGGAGGATAGAATGATGGAATGGAGCAAAGCACAAGCAGGGACCCGGACCGGAACGATATTGTACCAAAAACCGGAACGAGAACCGTTTTTTTTTGCGGGCCGGAACCGGAACAGAACCCATATTTCATGGAAATGTTGTAAGGCAAGCAGAACCGGAACCGATATAAATTAATCGGTTCTTACCGGTATTTTTTGGTTTCAAGATTTCATAAATTAGGCCGTTTGCTGTTTGGTCGTATCGTAATAAATTTAACGCTCTTGGGACCGGTTTCTCAATAGCAGGTCACCCCCGGGATTAAGCATAACTCCAGGGTAAACATAGCAACTGGACGGAGGTAAATCGCTATTGGGAAATCGGCCCTCAAACAGAGTGTTGGGAAGGGCGCATTTTTAAACTCGCCTAGGCCAGAGAGCTCCTAGGCTACACCAAGGATATTACATACTTCTACAGGATTGCTCATCCGCCTCGACTTTTGGAATCAAGTTCATGTGGTTTTGCACCGTTGTCGACGTCATCAACGGTGTCGTTAGCGGTTTGCGTTAGCAGTCGTAGTTAAGGATATAACGCACGGCACGGGCAAAGTTAAAAAATAAAAACTGTAATTAACTAATCGAGAACACAATATTTTTTAAATAATAATAAATAATAATAATTATTAAAGTCGTTGCGAGGACCGGTTTTTCAATAGCAGGTCACCTCCGGGTTAAGCTAACTCTAGGGTGAACATTGCAATTTAAGACGTTAACCCTGCAGTTAAAACAACCCGGGGGTAACTCGCTATTGAGAAACCGGCCCATAAGCCTAGTACCCTCATAACCGCGAATTTCGCATTTTTTTGACATTGCTTCGACAATTTGACGTTTGATTCTCGCATGAAACGTCAAATTGTCGAAGCAATGTCAAAAAAGAGCCAATTTCGCAGTTATGAGTACTAGGCTATAGGCAGAGAAATCTAACAAAAAATAAACCACAAATTACAGAAACATACATTTTTCTGTTATATATTTATGAAAAACTATACCGGTATGAAACGTTAAAACCAAAATTATTGGTCTGAACCCAAGAATGCCGTAACGGAACCGATATTTGTCATGACGCTGTAGACCGGAACCGGAACGGAACCGATATTTCATTTCGGTCCGGGTCCCTGAGCACAAAAAGACCTTCTGGGCCGAATGGCACACAAAATTTTATAGGTTTTTTACGTTATATTTAGGATGACGTCAGAGAACAAGGACTGACAATGTTGTCAATGCCTATTTGTTTTCTTATAATTTACCAGAATGTCATAATGAATTATCAAGACCACTGACAGCTAAAAATAACGAAATTAATCGACACGCATTATTTATTTGAAAATGTTCACTTAAATCATGCAACATCGCGCGCCGTTGCCAACCAGAAACATCTGAAATTCCCCTACTTTGAATGCGTTAAGAAGTTCTTTTAGTTTTGTTAGATTTGCAGCAGAAATTTACTAAATGTGACGTCATCTTGAATATAACGTGAAAATCCTATATCTTCAAGCGATTACTAAATGTCAAAATGATGGAATTTCACTCCTATAACTCACTGCCAATAGATGGCGCCACGGGCCTGGTGTCCTCAGCACTTTCTTTCTAAATTAATAGAATTACTCAAAATACAGACACAACTGACACAAGCGAAATAAATATGGAGTGATTTGTGAATAAATCTAACCTCAACGTCAGAACAAAAATGTATAGTTCAAAAATCTTCCCAACAACTAACTACTCACAACCGATTGGCTCAACTTGGATAGCTCTTATGGCCGTTTCCACCAAGAAGAATACACACTCTAAGGAGTGCTTATCGGCCTCGTTTTTGGTAATCGCCGCCATATTGGTTTTCAACGATTGCCGACGTCATAACTAAGTCGTCAGCTGTCTAAACAGCCTACGTCAAGGCCAGAGACGCCATGCTGCTTACGTCACAACTGGTTGTTTCGCGTGGGGGATTTGTTATACACAAACCCTATGAGGATAGGCCATCCTGTAGTAGTAGTAGTAGTGTGTATCATCCTTACGTTTCCACCAATTATTTCAGGAGAGCCTTAGGGTGGATTTTCATGCATCCGTTTGTCCGACGAAAGATGTCCGAAAAACATTCTATTCTGACATAATCGTATAAAAATATGTCAAAATAGAAGATTTTTCGGACACATTTCGTCGGAAAACGGATGCATGAAAATCCGGCCTTAAGGGTGGATTTTCATGAATCCGTTTGTCCGACGAAAGATGTCCGAAAAACATTCTATTCTGACATAATCGTATAAAAATATGTCAAAATAGAAGATTTTTCGGACACATTTCGTCGGACAAACGGATGCATGAATATCCACCCTAAGCCAACGTCTCATGCATCCGTTTTCCGACGAAAAATGTCCGAAAAACCTTCTATTCTGACATAATCGTATAAAAATGTGTCAAAATAGAAGGTTTTTCGGACATCTTTCGTCAGAAAACGGATGCATGAGACTCCGGCCTTAACGATAAGTATTTCCTAAAATGACAGTCTTCCATGGAGAAATGTCAGTTTAGGGAACATTTATCGTTTAGGCTCCCCTAAACTAGTTGGTGGAAACGGCCATTAGGGCCGAATTTATAGTCGTTCCTTGAAGTCTTCCTTGGAGGTTGTGAGTTTAGAATGGACAGTTGTTACTATTTGACAAGTTAGTCATGTCAGTTCTAAACGTTCGAGGCTTCCTTAAAGTTCGGTTTTTTGAACTGTCAAACATCCGAAACAAATTAAACCTGGAGAACCGTTTTTAGTTCAAAAACATCCCAGCCAGCAAGGGTACGTCATATTGACGTCCTTATATGGTGATAATTCGTCAATACTCGTCACCTGACCAAAAACTGACGACATATTGACGTGTGATAAATGCCGTTCAAATGACGTGCTTTTTATCACGTAATATTGACGCGTTTTTCTGGTGATAAATGTAATACACATTGACGTCAATATATATCATGTAATATTCACGTATTTTGCTTGTGGTTCAGTAAACCTGGTTTTTTGAATTAGGTTTTTTTTTTCAATGTGTTTTGAATGTATTCCTAGAATTCCTAGGGTTGTGCCGTGTATACTGTATTCTATAGTGAATAGGAGACAAAGTGATGATACAAATCATTATTTTTTTTCGCATTTGTAACTACTCACGAAAATTTTGATCGAATCGAATGCGAATAATACCCCTACCCTCGCATTTTTTCGACATCCTGTTTTTTAATTTTTACTACAGCAAAACTTTGATGCGTTTGAAAACACATCTTTGAATAAAAATTAAATGGAAAACTCCCATAGTTCATACTCATAGTTCCATCTCTGACTTTCAAATAGTATAGAAATAAACGGTAGAAACTGTGGAAAGGCCAGAAAGGGGACGTATTTGGTTTGTTTTTGTGTTTGGTCAACGGTTTGGTGAATGCGGAAATTACTGTATATTCCTTTTATACATCGAGTGACACCGAACAAACACCGAACGAAAAACGTTCAAGCTTCTGACTTTGAGCAGCTCCGAGTAACTCAACGGGAAAAAGGAAAAGAGTAAATACAAATACACTCACTCCTGTATTTTTTTTGTTTCGAAATTCTAGCATTAGTTTAGTATTAGTAAGGGACAACAATAAATATTGCATCGCCGCGTGGGGAAACGAATATGCTATTCAGCGAATTCTATTGGTAGAACCAGTGCAGAAAAATGTTTTTTTATCTCTTTCTTATAGAAGTCGGTAGAAAAGACACGAACACACTCAGTGCGCACTAACCCTTCCAATTCGCTACTGTGTGTGTGACTGTTGACGTTGATTGTTGTGAGGGAGTTTGTTGAGGTTATGTTGTGGTTGTAGCATGGCGTGGTCGTGTTTCATTTGGTTTTCCCTCGCTTTTTGCTTTCTCATTTCCCTCCAAGTTTCCCTCATTTCTTTTTTACGCAAGTATCGCGTGGAATTATTAATTCTTGATATATTTTTCGGTTTTAATTTCTCTTCAGAATCATCCTGCTGCATCCAAGTGAAACGCCTCTATATGAATGTGAGTTTTATTCACGTGTTTGTGTTGAGACTAATAACAATCACCAACCGTAAGTATATGTCTTTTGTTTTAATATACCTTATTTTATATTATAATATACATTATTATTATTGCTTGTTCACCTAAGGGCCAACTTATGGACCAACAGGTAAGTGTCTGGTTGTTACCTCACCTAGCAAGTACTACAAGTAATATGTTTAATACGCCTACAGAATATTTATATTGTCTTTTTTTAAATATATTTTTCTCAAAAGTGATATAGTGTTGGTTCATTTTCGTTACAGGTCATATAAATTTGAAAAAACAAGGATTTATAGAAAATATATCAGGTAAATATGACGTCATTTATAAAATAGATATCACGCGAATGGAACGTTATTAATACGCCAATATCACGTTAAATAACTCATAAACTTGACGTCAAATAACACGTAAAAATGACGTACCAACTATGACGTCATTCGTCCCAGACATTAGGAAGTCATTTTCACGTCATAATTAAGTCATTTAGCTCGTCATTTCTCGTCACTTGATGACCAGTATTTAACGTCATTTTCACGTGCTGTTGTTACTTGGGATAGTAATAAGGTGTTTTCTCGCGTCTCAAAGTTCTGGAACATTTTTCAAAAATGGTTTAAAAAAAACCAGTTTCACAATGACGTCATAACTTCTCGGCGCGAGAAAATGGGTTAAAAACGTGGATTGGATTGTATTTCGAAGCGGTTTGAATCAATTTTGTGTGACGTCATGAGTTCATCACCAGAAACTATTTCAAACCTGTTTTGAACCAGAGTTTCAAAAAAATGAACGCGAGGAAACAGCTCTAAACTAAATTTATAGTGAATTTTATTAAAAGGGTTAGTGCGCACTGGTGTATTCGTGTCTTTTTCTCAGCTTGTATAAGAAAGGGATAAAAATACATTTTTTCTGCACTGGTTCTACCAATAGAATTCGCTAGTAGTCCCACTTCTATTTTTGCAACAATTTAATTTATACATTGAACAAAAAATTTAAAACGAACAAATTAGTGCAAATTATGAATAATTTACTCTTGAAAACTTGGTGGTTCACGCCACCTAGCGAAAAAGAATACGCAAAATTAATTACAAGAAATAAATAGGATTGACGCTGCTGCCTCTTGGGAGGAAAAATCGAACACATTACCCCATACATAAAGATTTTTATGGTCCCAGGAACAAAATGGATCACTGCTGTGTTGAGTGCAGTGGTGACGACAATAAAGTTCAACAGTATACAACTACTGCGTAGGTATGAAGCAAACAGCAAACCTAAACTTATTTTCGAAAAAAGGCATCAGAAGTAGGAGAAACCAGTAAATTTTATTCTTCTTTGACAACATCTCTCCCCACACCACAGAGTTTGTCTTGTAAAGTCTCTGGAAGTATAGGTACTACATATGTTTAAAGTTTAATCTATTTATATTAAGTATATAAGGCCCGGTTTATTCATCTTCAGATCAATGTGCGGATAAATATCTGCAAGATAAATTCACCTATCTACAATTATTCTATTGGTTGACGGCCGTCTGGCTGACCAACGGGATTAAAGATTAGGTTTTTATCCGTCAGATTGCAGAAAGTGAATAAGCCGGCCCTACAAATTGAAGAAATATATTCCCGCGAATATATTTGAAACGGTTTTGCTGTATTGATTCTAGCAGGATTTCTGCAACACACAACACAATAATACTAGAACACACAACACAATAATCCAAAGAATGGGGACGACGATTTTTATGAAAAAAAAATCCTGCAAAAAAAAAACGGACAAAAAGTTCACTGATAAAGTAGAATTTACCAAGATAATCAAAGGGAAATAGTTACAATGATTTATTTCTAACTTAAGAGTATTTTTATACTCCTCTGATCCAGGTATTGTTGGTAGCGTGACTCTAGGAGAAATATCCAGCGCTCCTGAAATACGAAAGTGTGTTGAGAGTGTTCCTGAAAGCTGAAAGTGCAAAAAATAAAGTACTTAGCAGGAAAATCGGTATTTATTAGGTTTATTGTTTACTAGCAATTTTTTTACCGATAAATTTAGAAGATCTGTAGAAACTACTTCAAATTTGGTGAGTAATACCTATATGATGTGGTTGTTTTAATAATAGAAATATAGATTTCCATTGAGGATATTTATATTAATATCAAGAAATTTCTAGCGCAGGTTATGTTATAAATATCCTTGAGGAATGTCCTCTAGAAGAATTTTTAAATTCCCATAGGTATGTAAGACCTTAATCCAATTTTATCATTTTGTAGGTAAGCGATAAAACTTCGAAGTGTTTTTTCACCTCCTATCGACAACAAATTTTTCAGTTTTTTATAAACCAAAAAATATGTTCACCCTGTGGTACACGGTCCTGTCATACAAAGAATACCGGTAAGTAGACAAAATTATTTTTTGTTACTTATTTCTAATTAAAGGATTTTTGGCTCTAAATCAAAAAGTGTGGGTATAAATTTAGATTGGAGCACCTTTTGTTTACCAGCTTGAATAATAATACCTATAATAGTTATTTAAATAAGGCTTATATAAATATTTGAAATGTGGTTTAACAATTTCCCCAATATAAAATCGCGCTTCCTGTATAATTTGATTCTAGACTTTACACACACTAATATATTAATAATGACACCGCAGTCCTAACTATTCTGTCCATTATAAATCATGTTTACATAATTTTTAGTTTGTCTGTTAAAATTTAAAGTGTCAACGTACTTGCGCTTAAAAATAGTATCATCTTTTCATGTGAGACAGCTTGCATTTATAGAATCTTCCCGGTTGACATTATGCAGCATTTATTTAAGTCTTCCAGAAATATGGACTGTTAAAAATAATCCTTCTCTTTGAGGATGGTTTTCTTGGCACATGACTTTTCGTTTTAATAGTAATTTTGTGTAACGTTCCAGAACAATAAATGACGTATTTTTCTTTCTTTTGGCAATTTAACAATGTTGCAAAGGGTTACCAGACTGCCAAATTATTCTAATTTGCTTTAGTTTATTAGTTAATTGTTTTGTTTGTCGCACAAATCTTTTTTGTTTTCTATTATTTATTTGCTTTTTATTTTATTTTTTTTCAAAGGGACACAATTTGGGAGAAACTATCCCCCAAAAAACCTAGAGAAACGGCCATAGTATGCCCCCTGCCACCGAAAAATAAAGAACCAACCCCCAAATTACCAGTAGTTGAGCCATCCTCTACACTACCAGTAGTTGAACCTCCAAAACGCACCCCTTCACCTCAAACACCTGAAATTTTACCTCCACAAAAACCACCCAGATCGTCCGACGTGCCTCCTCAAATAGAAATATCGAAACCCAAATCGCCCGAGGTGCCTCCTCAAAAAATGGAACCCCCACCGAAACCTCCAAGGTCGCCTTCACCGCACCCTATCAAAGTTGAGGCTCTTGACGATATCGAATTCGAAGAAGAGGACGACGAAGAAAGCGACGAAAGTAGCGAAGCTGAAGAGGAAAATTCAGTTTTGGTTACTCCTCAAAGGAAGCCTGTTGCTCAAACGGTTAATGAGTTTATTAATCAGGAAAAAGCGACTTAGACAGATGAGGAAAATTATCAAAAGTGCCATTATAAAAATATATTGAAAGTGATTTTTTTATTGTTACGCTTAGAAGGTATACATACACGACTGATGGATATTTTGGAGTTTAAAAATATGATGTTTAATAAAATGTAGCTTGAAATCTTATTTTTTTTTTGTATGTGATTTATTATGGATCAACTAGCAGACTCTAGCATAACTGGTAGTTATTGTACCAAAAAATATGGAATAGACAAGTCCCAGCTGGTAGACCAAAAGGCCACATTGCACAGTTTCAATAAAATTCAGCATATAAAGTGCTTTTTTTCTATTCATACTTGATGCAATGTGTCTCAGTGGACTTTGAAACTCTTACCACTCAAGAGCGCATGATTTAAGATGATGTTGAATTTTGAAATTGAGAAATTTCTGAAACAATCTGTTTGAAATTCAGCGTGGCGCTCTATTATTGTCGATTTCTGTACACACTATTGACCGACACACACTTCTTGTTAAGCAATTAACAAAAGGGGTTACAAAGTTGGAAATAATAACAAAAACGTCTGTAGTCCATGAATATGTCATATAAGAACTAGGTACTATGAATCTGACTCCAATGTCATTTTCTTCCACATTCTATTAACCCCTATTTTTGAAAATGTTAAGTCCCAAACTGTAAGGGTACAGTTTATTGCCAGGAAAATTGCGTACAATCATGATTTTGTTGAAATTGATTTAATTTACCCCCACTTTTGGGAGCCCTTTTTACTTTCTAGTAAGCTTGACAAGCTTGTATAGGTACTCATGAGAAAGATATCTTATGCTGGAGAACGATCAGAGATGCTTCCAAAATGTTTCGCCTTGTACCTACTGAGAACGTTAATCTCCTTATCTATAGCTATTGTTTCAAAAAGCTGAAAAATATTGCTATCTTTATGTTGGAAATTGCATGCCCTGCAAAAACATTGTCAATTCCTGTGCCAGTGGGTGACATATCCTTGAAAATCCTATTTAATATGCCCGATTAATAATTCAAACTCGATCGATTTGCGACAATACGTGGGTGTTTTTCTACTTAATTTTCCGAAATAATTTTTGGCCATTCAGCTTCATCCTGACAACAATGTATTGCCAGCTGGCAAAAGTAAGCGGCATATTTTCCTGAAGGTCAAAAATAAATTTTCCCAGAAAATATATAATTTATTTATCAGTGGATTGACCGAAGCTCCAAAGCTTATATAACCAAATGGGCTATTTTTGGACCGTTAATATAAATTATTATTTCTTTGCTATTTTACTTAAATATGACCTGACAAAACTAGCCTATAGAATATTTGTTTGGGTTTTTTGCTAACATTATAAAAAAACTTGTGAGGTTCTTTGAACAAATTCCTATCAGTTTATTAAGGTGCTGCCTGTGTACATTATTGGTGTCGAAATTTTCTCACAAATACCACAATGGCTATTCTAAGGGAAATCTTGGAAAACAAACAAAATGTATCAAATAAGTAAGTTTTTTCCAAAAATAAATATCCGCAATTGCATTTATTATCCAGATTCTAGCTATAGAGAAATCCTGTGGGAACATGTGAGGAATTTAATTAAAAAAAACAGAGGAGTGGCCATTGTTAATCGATGCAATTTTTCCATTCAATTAATTGCAGCTCATAAAAACATTCGTCCGGTTAATTGTTTTGTATTGTTCGTATTTGGAATTTTTAGTAACGAGCTTAGAATATTGAAACAAATTTTATACTCGTGTGCTTATCAAAAATTTATTAGAGTTTTCAAAGTGCAAAAAGATGTTTTATACTTTGACCTTGTTGACAAAAACTTTAAACTGCTAAAACAACGTCTTTCAAAAGACGGGTTAATAAAACCTTATTATGCACAGGAAGTATAGTTTAAGCTGATGATGCACGATGCGTTTTCTTTTGAATAAAATGCCTGTTCGTCATTATTCAATAAAACAAGGCGATAACCCACGCCCTTAGGGATATTTTTTAATTGTATTTTCGAAATTTCATTCCAGCTGCTTTACGTCCCTGACTTTGGTTTGCATGCCAAAACTTGTTATCCCATAATCTAAATTTATTCAATTTTTTGGCAGAGATCCCACAGGGCCTATATAACCTTGGCATTAGGATTCAAAAAATTTTAAGAAAAATAACTACCTGAAAGATTAATGGATTTTGAATAAGAATTCCAAATCTTCACTCTATATTACAAACTATAATTTTTAATCAAAAAATTGGTCTCTCCAAATCTAAGAAACTAATAAATATACGTCCTGTTAGTGCAAAAATAAAATTTAGGTGTAGGTAATGGTTATTGTTATTTTCAAAATCCAAGCCAAGTTTTCTATTATACGCTTTAATTTTAGATGCTTTCTGTGTCCTGCTGTTTCCAGGCAAAAGTTGAAAACAGTTTTATTTATTTATCGATCTTATATTGAGGTCTTATGACTATGACAGAGATATTACGCTATAAATGTAGATAGGGTACTTGAAAACTTTGTCACGTATTTGTTTTAGATATTTTTTTAGCAACTTGTAAAAAAATTGAAATTTTTGATGAGTAAGTACCTACCTATATTTCGTGAAGTTTGCAACTATGCCAAATATGCAGAAGCTTGTAAAGTTTTTTTTAGGTAATGTAATAACCAAATAGGCCATAAGATTCTTTGTTAGGGAATTGACCCGCTGAGCTGCGAATCCAACATTTCCTAGAGAGTCATTTTAAGCTTTTCGTCCTTTATCTTGACTCACTCCCAAACCTTGACGATTTTGTTCTTGCTGTCCGGTTCTGAAGGTTCTGCCCCATCTTCATTTTGGTTTTAAAAATGTTAGGCCTTTATTTTCTTCTATGATTCTTTCTATCACTGCTTGTCTTTTTTTCAGCGTATCTATCCTCGACTCTTTTTTGTTTTTCTTTTTTGCTTTTAAAATTTGTTCGTTTGAGATATTTTTGTTGTTATCATCTTTTATTTTAGTTATTGTTTTTTGCCCTTTTCAAGGGATGTTAGAAATTCTTCTCTACAAATGTTTATTCGATGCGAAGCGATCGTCCTACATGTTTTGTTCGTTCAAACTTGGCCCCAAGTATAAAAGTATGTAGGTATATAGTCTATTTCGTTCTTTTTCTGCTGATGCTCAGCTCATATATGTATAGGTCGTTTCTCTATTGGGTATTTTCTACAGATTTTATTGGTCATAAGGCCACTTTTGCTCTAATTTCTGGACCCGTATTCGAAAATACCAATTTTGTAGGTACCTATATAGGTAATAGTTTTTCTTGTTCTGCCTTCGCCTTTAGCTCTTCAAGGAAAATTTCTGGATCTTCGTCATTGCTAGTTGAAATCAATAGATAGAGCTGAGCTTAGAGCTTCAGGAAGATACTATATTATTGATGTTCAGGATGATATTTTGATTCTTATTGGAAATGGAAATGGACTGGAATAATTGGATACTTACATATTTTGATAGAAATACGAATTTGAAGTTTAATTTTATGGGAAAAACAATTATAATAATAGAAAATAGGAAAATATGAAAGACAAAATTTGAGAAAATTGGTGGACAAGTAGAAATATCTCTTGAATAATTCCTTTACATATTTGGAGTATAGATACATTGGAGGAAACAAAAATTCAAGAGCCGAGAAAAGACAGAAATTGCCTCCCCCCTCATACACCTATTAAACTTAGCGTATGAGTCGGGGTAAAGACGAAAGACAACACAAAATGAAGACGTGCAATGCGCATCTGTTGTGACGACACAAGGGTATCGACGCTTGATTATATTAGGCAATCTTCTTTGCTTATAATCCTTGGTTTGAGTCAATCGTTTGTCGGCTGTCATTGTCATTGGTTTTCTTTCTCCGGCTTTCTACGTTAAGTCTTTCTTCTCTCTCGTATGTAACGAAATTTGCCAAAACGTGACGCGTCTTTCAAATCACTCTCCATTCTCGCCCAAATAGGTATCAGACTCCGCTTGAGAAGTTTCACTTCCAAAAAAAAAAAAAAAAAATTCCGAAATGGAAGTTTTTGGAATCCCTTGGTATTTTTTGGAATTTTTTCGAATTCTTTGGAATTTTCCATACGGAAAAGTTGGATGAGTGCTCAAAACAGATACAGTGCTCGTGCTCGTACCACTAATTCCAAAAAATTCTAAAATGGAATTTCTTGAAATTCCTTATCATTTTTTGGAATTTTTTAGAATTTTTTGGAATTTTTTGGCATTTTTTGGAATCTTGCATATGGAACAGTTGGATGAGTGCTCGAAACAGATACAGTGCTCGCGCTCGGACCACTAATTCCAAAAAAAAAAAATGCCAAAAAATTCCAATATGAATTTTTTGTAAATTTTTGTGGAATTTTTTGAAATAATGAGGGTAAAGGACGAAGGGAAACGCGCATCTGTAATTACGTCACATGGGTATCGGCGCTGGACAATAATAGTTTGTAATCCTTGGTTTGTGTCAATCGTTCGTCGGCTGTCATCGTCATTAGCTGTCTTTCTGCGGCCCTCCAAAACAGGACACAAATGTTTAAATAATGGAAATAATCACAAAATACAATGTAATATGTAGTAACAAAAGGGAGGCGCGCATCTGTAGTGACGTCACAATGGTATCGACGCTTGTCAATAATAGGCAATCCTCTTTAGGCTTATAATCCTTGGTTTGAGTCAATCAATAGCTATCTTTCTCCGTTTTTTTACATTATATCGTTCTTCTCTCTCGAAAAACGAAATTTGACCGTGACGCGTTTTTCAAATCACTCCTCATTGTCGCCCAAATATCAGACCGCCACCTAAGAAGTTTCAATTCAAAAAACTTAAATTTTCTATTCCAGGCTCTTGAATGTTTATCATTAGTAAGTATTCTTAACTTAATTTTGAGTTTATTTGGAGAAAGAAGAAGAAGACAAAACACATGCTTGACCATTTACCGCCATATTGAATCCTGACATAAGCCTAGTACTCATAACTGCGAAATTCGTACTTTTTTGACATTGCTTTGACATTGCTTTGACAATTTGACGTTTTATGCGTGTACCAAACGTCAAATTGTCGAAGCAATGTCAAAAAAAACGAATTTCGCAGTTATGAGTACTAGGCTATATGTGGTTGAGATGGAATGTTGCCAAGGTTCGTAAAGCTAATGAATATAGGTAGGTAGTCTGCAAGGAGGATACACACTACTACTACAGGATGGCTTATTCTCATAAGACCTGTGTGTATCAAATCCCCCCGCGCCAACCAGTTGTGACGTAGGCAACATGGCGTTTCTCGCACTGACGCAGACTGTTTAAACAGCTGACGACTTAGTTATGACTTCGGCAATGGTTGAAAACCAATATGGCGGCGATTACCAAAAACGAGGCCGATAAGCACTCCTTAGAGTGTGTATTTTCCTTGGGTGGTTTGGTAATGATAAACAGAGGACCTAATGGAGATTTGCATAGGCACCCCAGGGAGTTTATTCTCGAAACAGGGGAGCAGCGTTCCAGTGAGAACGAAGGTTCTGTCTTCGTCATCCGTATTCATATTTCCATAACACTGACAATGACAGAGCAATCGTTCTCATGAGAATGCTGTTCCTCGGTTTCGAGAATAAAGTCCCAGATGACGTCATAAAAGCTATCACGGTTTGGACTCTGTAACGAATCGAGATATTTTTTCTATCTATATTGGCGTCACCTCTCTACTAGTTTCGAGAAGAGAGAAGAAGATAGCAAGTGTCATAGCGATAAGGATAACGATCTCTATTCGTTACAATTTCGCCTCACGTAAAAATAGGTAGGGCAAGCGCTATCCCTCTCTCTCTCTCTCTTGCACTGCACTTGAGCCGACTGTATCCGACCGAATAGCGTTAACAATTTGGGCGTGACGGCTCAATCTCATTCATAACCCAGAAAAATGTTGATGCCAAACGCGCCTAAAAGAAGTTTTCACTTCTTAAAAACATATATTTTCTATTACAGGCTCTTGAATGTTCATTAGTATTCTTAACCCAGAGTTTTAAATTTATTTAGAGAAAGAAGAAGAAGAGCCAGGGCTGGGATCAGGACAAGTAGAATTCTAATTTAATGACGTCAGGTTGCCTAGCAACCGTCACCATCACCTGTACTGTACGCATTGAAAACGCGAAAAATAGGTCGCGGGTGACGCAATGAAAGTAGAATTCTACTTGTTGTGATCCCAGCCCAGGAATAGACAAAAAAATATAGAAAAATGATAGATAAAATTTAAGAGAAATTGGTAAGCTAGTAGAAATGCCTCTGGCTCTAGAATAATTCCTTTATTTGGAATACACTGGAGGAAACAGGCTTCTTCAAGAGACGGGATTCGACACAAATTCCCTAAATAAACAAACATTACGAATGCTTGACCTTTGCCGCCATATTGAATCCTGGAATTTGTGGTTTGGATGAAGAGGTAGGTTGCCTGATAACTTTATGACTCAATATAATGGAAATTTCCATAATGCATCCCAGATGCGCCATTAAGTTACCCGGGCCATTACCAGGCATCCTATTAGTTTGGATGAAAAGTTGCTGATAGCTTTTATGACGTCATTGTATGCCTAAACATAATGCAAATCTTCATAAGAATGACGTCATCGGTTTGCCATCACCATCAGCAATTGAAATTTTGCCAATCAATGATTGAATCCCAATCGCGCTATGCCACTTTCTTTCGCACTGCTGACTGTTTCTCTTTGTCGCTTGGCTGAAATCGACTCGAGCCGACTGTATCCGACTGAATAAGCGTTAACAATTTGGGCGTGACGGCTCAATCTCATTCACTCAGAGATTTTTTTTTTGTGCTAAACGCGCCTTTAAGGAGTGTTCACTTCAGAAAAAAAAAAAATCTATTCCAGGCTCTTGAATATTCATTAAGTATTCTCAACCCAAAATTTTGAGTTTATTTAGAGAAAGAATTAAGAAGAAGACAGAAACTCAAGAGCCAGGATTAGACAAATGTTGAGACAAAAAAATAGAAAAATGAAAGACAAAATGCAAGAAAATTTGGTAGACAAGTAGAAATACCTCTTGTATAATTTCTTTAATCGGAGTATATTGAAGAGAAGAGGCTTAAGAGTCGGTAATAGACAAAAATTGCCTAAATAAACATAAAAATCATGAATGCTTGACCTTTGCCGCCATATTGAATCTTGTCATTTGTGGTTGAGATGGGAGGTTTCCAAGTTTCCTAAAGTTATTAAATGGGTTGTCTGGTAATGGTAAACAAATAACGTCATCAGGAGGGATAAGCACCTAATGAAGATTTACATTGTTAGGCACCCCAGATGACGTCATAAGAATTATCAGCTCTTTCAAACAACATTGGGACGTTGCCTGATAATTTTCATGACGTCATCTGTATGCCTATAAGCATAAATACAAATCTCCATAAGAAACACCTGATAAAAAAGACGCAGCAACGCTCATTGTGCAAGACGAGGCAAAACGTACAGTCACGCACGTTTAAAATGGGAAACCCGATTTTTCCTATTATGCTCATCAACACAAACCTACGGCAATGACAGGGATTGTCACATTTAATAAAAAATCCTTGTATAAAGTGTGTTTTTTTTTTAAAGATAAAAGTCAAAATGGCGTTATGTTGGCAATACAATGTAAAATTGTCAAGCTTTCAAATTTTTTATGTAGAAAAGGCTTGTGTTACCAACATAGTTACTAAATTTTTGACTTGGGGAATTATCTTTAAAAAAAAACAGACTTTGGGATTTTTACGCTATTAGGATGACGTCACATTTTCTGCTGCCAACCTAACAAAACTAAAAGTACCTTTAAACGCATTTAAAGTAGGGGAATTTCAGACGTTTTTGATTGGCAACGGCGCGCGACGTTGCAGAACTTGTATAAACATTTCTATTTTGTTATTTTTAGCTGTCGTCAGAATTATTGATGCATGAAATTCTGGTTAATTATAAGAAAAAAACTAAGTATTGACAAAATTGTATGTCCTTGTGCGATGACGTCATCCTAAATATAACATAAAAAACCTATAGAGAAAAGATATGAGAAAAGAGCTTAGAGCAGGAAAAGACCAATGATCATGTTTGACTTACGTGTACAGCTATCCATCCTACTTATTTGCACGGGATGAAAAGGGAGGGAAACCGCATGACGTGCATCAAATTTGCCAATTAAAAACTGTTCAAATCATTTCAAATACTCAAACAACTTATGAAGTTTTATCACCTTTATAGCCAAGATGAATATCAATCTTGTCAGACCACGGACAATGAACAAGGACAAGGTGATGTTCAGCTTGGTTCAGCGTGCTAAACGAATACCTCACACCTCTGTACGAGTTAGCCAAGAAAAAGGTCAATCGCGCTATCACTCTCTCTCTCTCTCTCGTACTGCTGATTGTTTCTCTTTCTCTCGCTTGGCTGAACTCAATGGCTGAATTCGACTCGAGCCGACTGTATTCGACCGAATGGGCGTTATCAATTCGGGCTTGACGGCTTGATCTCAAGAACTAGAAACTACCGAAAAAAAAATTTGTGCTGTACGTGCCTAATGAAGTTTTCCCTTCAAAAAAGGTGCATTTTCTATTCCAGGCTCTTGAACGTTCATTCAGTATTGGGGAAAAAAGAAGAAGACGGCAAAAACTCAAAAGCCAGGAATAAGACAAAAATTGAGAGAAAATAAATAGAAAAAAAAGAAATATCTCTTGCATTATTCCTTTATTTGGAGTACATTGGAAGAAACAAGCTTTAAGACCCGAGAATAGACAAAAATTGCCTAAATAAACATAAACATCACAAATGCTTGACCGTTGCCGCCATATTAAATTCTGTCATTTGTGGTTGAGATGGAGAGGTAGGTTGCCTGGTAACTTCTATAACGTAATCTGCGGTGCCTCACCTGCAATTCCTGCAAATCTCTATGAGGCACTACGCATGACGTCATCAACAACCTATTAACTTTAGTTGAGATGGGAGGTTGCAAATGCTCCTAAAGTTAATAAATAGGTTGTCTGGTAATGGTAAACAAATAATGTATGTCATCGGGAGAACCTGGAGATTTGCATTATATTAAGCAGGTGACCCAAAATGACGTCATAAAAGTTATCACACAACCTACCTCTTTCAAACAACCTTGGTAGGTTGCCTAATAACTTTTATGACGTCATCTGTAGGCCTAAGCATAATGTAAATCTCCATAAGAATTACCTGATGACGTCATTTGTTTGCCATTACCATTGACCATTTCAGTACAGATTTGATGGTTATGACAATTTGCTCTGGAGGGAACATTAATTTATAACCAAAAATGACATTATTTTGGCATTTTTCGACAAATTCTTAACCTAGAAAGCTTCAAATGACATTATTTTGGAACTTTTCCACCCGTTTTTAACCTAGAAAGCTTTAAATTTGACAACAAAATCATTGGTTGCCCTCCAGCGTGACGTCATACTAAAATGGTCAATTCAACCTATTGAAAAAATGGCACATTTTTTGAGTATTTTATTCAAGAAAAGTCTTGCAACAGTGGCCCATCCCTTTTTGGGTTATCGATCCCTGGAACCTAGCCAAAATCTTTTACGAAAATATAATATTCATTAGTGAGTATCGATTCAAATTTATTAATTATTAAATTTTACGTTCATACCTAATAAATCCCATGCAAATTTGATAGATAGTGTACCAACCCTACCTAATTAAGTGGGTTTTATTTGCTCTTCAATCTATTTTCTAATTGACAAAAATCAAAATTTACACATGAATTATAGATTGTTGTAGGCTACAAATTTTCCTATACGAAAAATACAAAAAAATCATCTGAAATCATCATCATCATCACGATATACGATAACAATTCAAATTTGGAATCCCAGGCCAGCAGGCACCAAATACGCCGTTGGGTCTGGGCGAAAAATTAAAAATAAAATTTTCCAGTTTCCATACACAAAAATCCTCAAAAGAATAATCAAACGGAAAATGTGAAAATTAACGATTGGTGAATTGCATCTGACGTCACGTCGGTTAGAGTGGGGTTGGCACCAGGAGGTGATCTAGACGGAGTGCTCCTATTCAGGGCCACACAGTGGGTTCGTTCCTTGTTCAGTGTGTTTCTAGCTAATTTTTTTTCAAAGGGAAAAAAAGATCCTCAAAGGTACGGATTTTGTGTTTTGAAATTATTTCACGTTTAATTTGTGCTTTTTCGGTTTTCGTTGCCCGAAAACTGTAAGTAATAATTTTCCAGCTCAAAACAGTTTTCAACCCCAACAATTTTTAATTTTCTTAGTTTCTGCTTTTTTTTTCAGTAAAATACCTAATAACATCTTTGTTGCATTTGAAACAGGATAATTTAACAATAATTTAAAAAGTATTTATAGGCTTGAAAACTCTAATAATTTTTGTAGCTTCAACCCTTCTGCTTTGATCAAATAAGTGAATTATTGCATTACCAAGCCAAAAAATGCATTTTCCCCATTTTTTTTTTTTCAAATTCCTTATAAAATAATATGGTGCAACCTTGGTGTATTAATGCAGTTGGAACATATATTATTCAATTTGTAAAGCTCTTAAAAAGCAATCAACATTAAAAAATACACAATTTTATCCATAATTTAGTTGCAATTTACCGGGCAACCATATTTTTTTCTTGCACTCGAAAAATCGAACTTCCCTTACGTAATCCACAAGGCTTGGTTAGAACATTGCGCTTGCTGCTCTATGGCGGGACAGCCAAAATTACAAACAATAAAACACTAGCAATTTTTCAATTAAAAATGCCCCTTCGGATTAAATTAGTGAGTCACCACTTTACAGGATAATAAACTTGAACTTTAATCAATTAATACGTATAATAATATTTTAATAATATCCTCTCTGAAGTGTGTTGTTTATCAGATTCAGAAGGTGGTCTACGTGACTTTATTTTGCTTGGATCATGATTTTTCTAAGCGGAAAAGCTTGTCACGCGTTTAGTCATTTGGATTTGATGGGTTTTTAACAGCGTTGCATTTATTCAAACCGCAACAAAATTGTTATGGTTAATTAAACAATAGGTCATGAAATTCTGTCAAGATTATGCAATAATTTGTAACTAGAGATTTTCGAAGGAATAAGCCTGAAAATCAATTATTTATTGTACCTATTTCATTTATTTGAGTCCAGTTAATCAATATTGATTTATGACAAGTGAGTTAAACCATCGTCAAGTTAAACTACTAAAAATTGTACTTGTTTCTGTTATTCCTTCCTAGTCCACACAAGTGACGGTTATTTTGAGCTACACTGTAAAACTTAATGTAAGTTTATTTGTTCTGGCAAGCAAGCAGAGATGTTGACAACATGTTTGTATAAATGGACCAAAAAATGCTGATTTCCTCAAAAAAAATCAATGTTGAAAAACTGAATGTTTCGATCTTCTTGATCTCACGCTCTCAAAATCTACCCAAAAAGTTAAACTTATTATGGTGTCGTCCAAGGGGCAAACCACCTAGGAATTCTTTTCCCAAATTCTGGGGGATTTATAGAAATTTGTGAGGAATTTGAAGAAACTCATCGGAATTTTTGGGGAATTTGGAGAAATTTATGGGGAATTTGGAGGAATTTGTGAGGAATTTACGAGGAATTTGAAGGAAATTGTAGAGTCATGACGACACTGAGGTTCACATTCTTATTATAAGAAACACTAATAAATGAAAATATAAAAAAAATCTAAATTTGTGTTGAAAGTTGGAAATTCATTTTCATTCAAGAAATTCTTCCAAATTTAAAAAATTCAAAACAATAATGAGTACAGTTTTTGTAAGCCTGATTTCCAAGATTCTTCATGTTGTTATTTTCCACTGAAAAAATTTGAAATTTTGAGTAAATGAGCTTTTCACCTTCCTCCTTACATGCAAGAAGTTTTAAATTTTTCCCTTCACTAGTTTTCCAGGAAAACTTTGAAATGTATGAGACGGTATTTTCAACTAATTCAGTTTTTGTAGATGATTTCCAAGATTCTTCATGTTGCTGTTTTCCACTGGAAAAAAATTGAAATTTCGGGAAAATGAGCTTCAGATCTTCCTCTTTACATGCAAAAAGTTTCAAAATTTTATCTTCACTAGTTTTCCAGGAAAACTTTGAAATGTGTGAGACTGTATTTTCAATTAACTCAGTTATTGTAGGTTAATTTCCAATATTCCTCATGTTGTTATTTTCTGATGGAAAAATTTGAAATTTTGGAAAAATTAGCCTTTATAGCCTTTCTACTCTTCACATACAAAAAGTTTCAAATTTTTTCCTTCACTAGTTTTCCAAGAAAACTTTGAAATGTGTGAGACTGTATTTTCAATTAATTCAGTTATTAGAGGTTGATTTCCAAGATTTTTCATGTTGTTATTTTCCACTAGAAAAATTTAAAATTATGGGAAAATGAGCCTCTGACCTTCCTCTTCACATGAAAAAAGTTTCAAAATTTTCCCTGAATTAGTTTTCCAGGAAAACTTTGAATTGTGCGAGACTGTATTAATAATTACATATTTCAATTTTTGTAAGTTGATTTCCAACATTTTTCATGTTGTTTTTTTCCACTAGAAAAATTTGAAATTTAGGGAACATGAGCCTCTCCCCTTCCTCTTCACATGCAAAAAGTTTCAAAATTTTCCCTTCACTGAAATGTGTGAGACAGTATTTTTAATTAAGTCAGTTATTGTAGGTTGATGTCCAAAATTTTTTATGTTGTTATTTTCCACTGGGAAAATTTGAAGTTTTGGGAAAATGAATCTCTAACCTTCCTCTTTACATGCAAAAAGTTTCAAATTTCCCCCTTTACTAGTTTCCGAGGAAAACTTTGAAATATGTGAGACGGTATTTTCAACTAATTCAGTTTTTGTAGGTTGATTTCCAAGATTCTTTATGTTGTTATTTTCCAATGGAAAAATTTGAAATTTTGGGAAAATGAATCTCTAACCTTCCTCTTTACATGCAGAAAGTTTCAAATTTTCCCCTCTACTATTTTTCCAGGAAAACTTTGAATTGTGTGAGACGGAATTTTCAATTAGTTCAGTTTTTCTAGTTTGATTTCCAAGATTCTTCATGATTCTATTTTCCACTAAAAAAAAATGAAATTTTAGGAAAATGAGCCTCTAACCTTCCTCTTCACATGCAAAAAGCTTTAAATTTTTCCCTGTACTAGTTTTCCAGGAAAACTTTGAAATGTACTGTATTTTCAATTAATTCAGTTTTTGTAAGTTGATTTTTAAGATTTTTCATGTTGTTATTTTCCAATGGAAAAATTTGAAATTATGGAAAAATGAGCTGCTAACGTTCCTCTCCAGATACAAAAAGTTTCAAATTTTTCTCTTCACTAGTATTCCAGGAAAACTTTGAAATGTGTGAGACAGTATTTTTAATTAATTCAGTTATTGTAGGTTGATTTCCAAGATTTTTTATGTTGTTATTTTCCACTGGGAAAATTTGAAGTTTTGGGAAAATGAATCTCTAACCTTCCTCTTTACATGCAGAAAGTTTCGAATTTCCCCCTTTACTAGTTTCCGAGGAAAACTTTGAAATGTGTGAGACGGTATTTTCAACTAATTCAGTTTCTGTAGGTTGATTTCCAAGATTCTTCATGTTGCTGTTTTCCACAGGAAAAAAATTGGAATTTTGGGAAAATGAGCTTCAGATCTTCCTCTTTACATGCAAAAAGTTTCAAAATTTTCCTTTCACTAGTTTTCTAGGAAAACTTTTAAATGTGTGAGAAAGTATTTTTAATTATTTCAGTTATTGTAGGTTGATTTCCAAGATTCTTTATGTTGTTATTTTCCAATGGAAAAATTTGAATTTTGGGAAAATGAATCTCTATCTAATCTAATCTCTTTACATGCAGAAAGTTTCAAATTTTCCCCTCTACTATTTTTCCAGGAAAACTTTGAATTGTGTAAGACGGAATTTTCAATTAGTTCAGATTTTGTAGTTTGATTTCCAAGATTCTTAATGATTCTATTTTCCACTAAAAAAAAATGAAATTTTGGGAAAATGAGCCTCTAACCTTCCTCTTCACTTGCAAAAAGTTTCGAATTTTTTCCTTCACTAGTATTCCAGGAAAACTTTGAAATGTGTGAGACAGTATTTTCAATTAGTTCAGTTATTGAAGGTTGATTTCAAGATTCATGTTGTTATTTTCCACTGGAAAAATTTGAAATTTTGGGAAAATGAGCCTCTAACCTTCTTCTTCACATAAAAAAAGCTTTAAATTTTTCCCTTCACTAGTTTTCCAGGAAAACTTTGAAATGTACTGTATTTTCAATTAATTCAGTTTTTGTAAGTTGATTTTTAAGATTTTTCATGTTGTTATTTTCCAATAGAAAAATTTGAAATTATGGGAAAATGAGCTGCTAACGTTCCTCTCCACATACAAAAAGTTTCAAATTTTTCCCTTCACTAGTTTTCCAGGAAAACTTTGAAATGTGTGAGACTGTATTTTCAATTCATTCATTTATTGTAGATTAATTTCTAATATTCCTAATGTTGTTTTTTTCTACTGGAAAAATTTGAAATTATGGGAAAATGAGTCTCTAACCTTCCTCTTCACATGCAAGAAGTTTCAAATATTTCTCTTCACTAGTATACCAGGAAAACTTTGAAATGTGTGAGACAGTATTTGCAATTACTTCAAATTTTGTAGGTTGATTTCCAAGATTCTTCATGTTGCTATTTTTCACTGGAAAAAATTGAAATTTCGGGAAAATGAGTCTCTAATCTTCCTCTTTACCTACAAAAAGTTTCAAATTTTTTCCTTCACTAGTTTTCCAGGAAAACTTTGAAATGTGTGAAACTGTATTTCCAATTTATTCAGTTTCAGTTATTGGAGTTTAATTTCCAAGATTCTTCATGTTGTTATTTTCCACTGCAAAAACTTTGAAATTTTGGGAAAATGAGCCTTCAACCTTTCTACTCTTCTCTTCACATGCAAAAAGTTTTAAACTTTTGCCTTCACCTGAGCCTTCACCAGTTTTCCAGGAAAGCTTTGAAATGTGTGCGACTGTATTTTCAATTTTTCAGTTTTTGTAAGCTGATTTCCAAGATTCTTCATGTTGTTATTTTCCACTGAAAAAATTTGAAATTTTGGGAAAATGAGCTTCTCGCCTTTCTCTTTACATACAGAAAGTTTCAAATTTTTCTTTTCACTAGTTTTCCAGGAAACTTGAAATGTGTGAGACTGTATTTTCAATTAATTCAGTTATTGTAGGTTGATTTCCAAGATTCCTTCAAGCTACTTGAAGTTTATACAAGTTTATCTGTATCCAAATCCGAGTATCTATCCTAGCATCATATTATGAAAAAAAAAAACTGAACGTTGAAAAAAGGGTTTACTCTCGGGTTTACTTATTTCTAAATTATTGAAAAAGGAACACATTCATTCGGCCTACTCAGCCTGACTATGCTGAGGTTCAGATTGAATTTATTGATTATGGTCTTATAAACCTGTTCAACTTTTAGAAAAAGGTCCATTTAAAATAAATAAACAATATACCTACCCTCAATATTGTGAAACAATATACATACCTACCTAAGTTGTTTAAAAAGTAGCTACATGACATGTACTATTCTTGGTATTATACAGTATTATATTTGTTTTAATTTCCTAAAATATAATATCAAATGCAAATTAGGTTAGTTTAAACCCCTGCATTCTGGATTACCGAAAACCAATCATTAATTCTAGCTCTAGAGTCAACTAACGTAACCTTGCATTTGATCCTACTCTCGATCCTACTTGATAAACTGCTCTTGTATTTTAACTAAGCGAAATAAAAATAGAAAAAATAAATTTCTTATCACGAGCAATTTTGCGGATTTTCAGGGAATTTGTAAGAGACATTTGTAGGAAATTTGAGAGGAGTTTGGAGGAATTTGCGGGAATTTGGAGGAATTTGTGATGGGGTATTTGGAGGAATTTGTGGGGAATTTGTAGAACTTTGCAGGAATTTTGAGGAATTATGCCTAAAAAATTCCCCTTTGACGTTTGCACAAATTCTGGGATGGGGGTTTACCCTTTGGTGTCGTCTATGCATTTATCGCCCAGTATAAGTTTTTGAATGGATCGACAACCTCTATCCAGATGGAAAATGTGAATCTTCTTGACTTCTCAATGTCAAATTTTGCTATTTTTTCAGCCTGGTGAATCTTTCAGCTCATGTATTAGGTACATATTTCGAAAAACTTCAATGTGAATCATATAAGAAGTCACTTAAACCATAGACTGTAATAAGGGGATTTCAATTTCAAACTCTGATGATAAAATTAAATCTTAATTTCCAAGTTACGTATCCATGCTTTTTTGGGTTTTTTGTTGGTTATTGTGATAGTTTTTGTAGGGTTTTCGTGTTTACTTAACTTAACAAAATTGTATATTTGTTTCAACAGTTTTTCACCTATTTAAAATTTGTCAAAAATGACATTGAGACAGTTTTTGCCTCACAGCTCCGTTCATTTTCATCCGATTTCAGTGTAGGTAAGCTCTAATTAAAGCGAACTAATGTCTTCACAAACCTGTTAATTAAATTGATGGTGGGTTTTTGAAATAGGTCTTTATGCCAACCCTGATTTGAATCATATAAGAAGTTTTAATGTGAATTATACAAAAAAAAAAGTGCAGTGTCTTAATCCATCGACTGTAATTTTCCAAAGATTATGAAGGGATTTCAATTTTGAGCTCCGCTGATAAAAAAATAAATCTCAATTTCCAAGTTACGTATGCATGCCTGAAATCAGTCTTTAAATAGAAATGTTAAGCATCTAATGAATTATTGTTTAAATTTCCAATTAGAAATTATTTGTTTCGCGCCTCATAAATAAACTGTTCGACTTTGCCTGCAGTTAAGCCATCATTATTAACCACGAGATCGTTAGGAGTAAACATTTACGTTTCATTATTACTAGAATTGAAAATGTAAACCAGACTTTTCATTTGTGTTTAGAACAATTTTATTGAAGATTTCAATTTTAGTCTAAAAATAAAATAAGCTGCTGGTGGGATTTGATTCACGCCATCAGGTGGTTACATAAAATATCTATTAAAATTATTAATAAGTCAGCACGTCAATTGTATTTTTTATTTCCAATCCCTGACAAAGATAATAAGACCCTGTATAGGTACACCAATAGTTATTATAACACTAGACAACATTTTCCTTAATTATTTTTTAATAGCTTCGTTAACAATGGAACATTACTAATTCTGATAAGAAAGTGTTGGTTGATCCACCACGAAAATATTTGAAAAATTAATGATTTGCTTTCAAATTTGTTTTGACTTAGTTAAAGTCAAGAAAACTAAAAGTTCTTGGCTGCGAAACCCTATTTATAGAAACCCTCTTCCAGACAGTTGTAAACTTGTTTTTAAAGGAGCAAACACCTATAGACAATTCCTATTTTTACCCCTCTTAAAAATAGACTACCACAAAACTTATATAATGTCATTATGCAGCAGTCTAGATAATTATTTTTTCGTTGATTTAGCTTTTATTATACCTGATAAATATTCAAAACAATTGTACTAGAAACAAAAATTCAGGTATTTAACTGATGATGATTCCAAAAATAATTTTTTTTGGCTCATTTTTCTATCCATGAGCTGAAAGTGAAACTGGGCGCCAAAAAATAAAGACAATAAACACTCCACTATCCAAACAAATTGATTTTCATTTTATTGTTGGTTATAATAATACCAATTTTCGTTTGTTTATTCCTCGATAACAATAGTTTGTTAACATACCGGATATGAGCACATTATAGAAAAAAATCCCATGAATTATTCTCGTTTTAGTAAAGACACCATGGTTGACGCTGCAGTCCTTGAAAAACTCGAAGCTGGCTTCAAGAAACTTGAAGCCTCCGACTCGAAGTCTCTCTTGAAAAAATACCTTACCAGGGAAATCTTCGATGCTCTTAAGACAAAGAAGACTTCTTTCGGTTCCAGTCTCTTGGACGTCATCCAATCAGGTAACTATACAACAACTAAATTTATGAATAAAATCTTGCTGCTGAAGAAAACACACACAATCTTCTGCCATTACTAGGTATTCATAATCCTTTTACTGTTTTTTAGACTTATTTTAATTCTATTCCTCTTTCTTACATACTTAATGTTCGTCTTAGACACTTCATTCCTCAGTTGCTTCCAATAAATCTTTACAACTGGTAATGAACTCCCAATAATAACTCTTCTGTGGAGTCAGTTATCATCTTAGTCCAGCATTCAGAAGTTTTTGAACTGAAACTGAACATGTGTAAATCTATAAAACTCATTATTCCATTTATTCCAGGTATTGAAAATCCCGACTCTGGAGTTGGAATCTACGCTCCTGATGCTGAATCCTACAGTGTATTCGCCGATTTGTTCGATCCCATCATCGAAGACTACCACAAGGGTTTCGCCAGGACCGACAAGCATCCACCCAAGAACTGGGGAGACGTCAGCGTGTTTGGCAACTTGGACCCTGCTGGTGAATACGTCGTATCTACCCGTGTGAGATGCGGTAGGTCCATGGAAGGTTACCCCTTCAACCCCTGCTTAACCGAAGAGCAATACAAAGAAATGGAACAGAAAGTGTCCACCACTCTGTCTGGTCTTGAAGGAGAACTCAAGGGTACTTTCTACCCCTTGACTGGAATGAGCAAAGATGTCCAACAAAAATTGATCGACGATCACTTTTTGTTCAAAGAAGGTGACAGATTCTTACAGGCGGCCAACGCTTGCCGTTTCTGGCCATCTGGACGTGGTATCTACCACAACGACAACAAAACCTTCTTGGTGTGGTGCAACGAAGAAGACCATCTTCGTCTTATCTCCATGCAAATGGGTGGTGACTTGGGAGAAGTCTACCGTCGTCTCGTAACCGCCGTCAACGACATCGAAAAACGTATTCCATTCTCTCACCACGACCGTCTTGGTTTCCTTACTTTCTGCCCAACCAACTTGGGTACCACTGTACGTGCTTCAGTACACATCAAAGTACCAAAATTGGCTGCCAACAAGGCTAAGCTTGAAGAAGTTGCCGCTAAATACAACTTGCAAGTGCGCGGAACCAGAGGCGAACACACTGAAGCTGAAGGAGGCATCTACGACATTTCCAACAAGAGACGTATGGGCCTTACTGAATTCGATGCCGTCAAGGAAATGTACGACGGTATTGCTGAACTGATCAAAATTGAAAGGGAATTATAAATATATCAATAATACATTCGTGGTTATTTTATTAAGTAAGCAATGTTGAGAATTTTTGTTTAAGTTAGCGGAGAATGCTTACTGCATTCGAAACTCGAAAAATTACTATAGAGTATTTCAAGCTTCTAGTTGGCATTATTTTTTTGAAAGCCGTTGATAATGTCACATTAGAAAGGATCTTCAGTTATTAATTATTTATATTTATTTATTGTAAGTATTAATTTAATTTGCAACAAAAAAGTCGTTGAAATAAAAGACATATTACCAGTGTTATTCATATTTTTATTTGGCCTGACTGAACTCGGGACTTTTTGGAATTTTCATGAATAGGTACTTAATCCATATGATATCGACTCTCTAAAGGAAGCCAAAGAATTGGAGCAATCAAGACTGCTAGACTCCTGAATTAAAGACTTTAGAAGCTCCAAAGATTTTGAAGAATATAAAGATCTTAAAGGCTTATGACTTGATATTAAAATAAATAAAAGATTCTGAAGGTTCTATATAGCCTCATTCTTTAGGACCTAATAGTCTAGGACTCAAAGCCTCTGAAGATTCTATAGAAATGCCAAAAGACACAAACTAAAGACTCGAGATTCTGAAAGCTGTGCAAACTGATTTTTTCAAAATTTTTAAAATGAAAACCTAACCATAAGCGCAACTAGGCTCCAAATTTGACGGGTGCTGCAGCACCATTTTTTTATTTTTATTTTTCTGATGGGGTTTGATGGAAAGGAAATGAAATGAAATTTTGAAATTTTCCTCTAATAAGCTCCTCACTTTCCTCTTTCACCTGTAAAAATTTCAAAATTTTCCTGTTGCCAGTTTTCCAGAAAAAAATTAAAATGTAAGAGGAGGGTGAATTTTCCTTAATTTTGCCTAAATAAGTCAATTTTCTTTGAATTTATCCTGCAGTGATTTTTCACTGATAAATTTTGAAACAAATGAGCTCCCCATTTTCCTCTTATTCCTGGAAAATTCTCAAAATTTTCCCTTTGCCCGTTTTCCAGAAAAAAAAAATAAAATGTAAGAGGGTGAATTTTTTTAAATTTTACTTGTAAAAGTCAATTTTTTAGAATTTTTCATGGAGTGATTTTTCACAGGAAAATTTTGAAATTTTTCTATAATGAGCTCGTCACCTTCCTTTTTCTCTTGGGAAAATTTAACAATTTTTGCTTTGCCAGTTTTCCAGAAAAAATTGAAATGTGTAAGGATGAATTTTGCTTAAAAAAGTCAATTTTCCAGAACTTTCCTCTCGACTTTCCTTGGAGTGATTTTTCACAAGAAAATTTTGAAATTTTCCTATGATGAGCTCCTCATTTTCTTATTTCTCCTGGAAAAATTTCACAAATTTTGCTTTATTAGTTTTCCAGAAATAAATTGAAATGTGAGAGGATGAGTTTTTCTAAATTTTACTTGAAAAAGTCATTTTATCAGAATTTTTCCTGGAGCGATTTTCCATTAGAAAATTTTGAAATTTTCTTATATAATGAGCTCCTGACTTTCCTTTTTTCCTCTTGTCCCAGTTTTCCAGAAAAAAATTGAAATGTGTGAGGATGAATTTTCCTTAATTTCACTTGAAAAAATTAATTTTCCAGAATTTTCCCTGGAGTGATTTCTCACTGGAAAATTTCGAAATTTCCCTATAATAAGGTCCTCACTATCCTCTTTCTCTTAGAAAATTTTCAAAATTTTCCCTCTGCCAGTTTTCCAGAAAAAAATTTAAATGTAAGAGGGTGAATTTTCCTTAATTTTACCCAAAATAAGTCAATTTTCTTTGAATTTTTGTTATAATGAGTTCCAAACTTTTCTCTTTTCCCTGGAAAATGTTGAAAATTTTCCCATTGCTAGTTTTCCAAAAAAAAATTTAAATGTGAAAGGGTGAATTTTCCTTAATTTTGCTTAAATAACTTAATTTTCCAGAATTATTTCTGGAGTCATTTTTCGCTAGAAAATTTTGAAATTTTCCTCTAATAAGCTCCTCACTTTCCTCTTTCACCTGTAAAAATTTCAAAATTTTCCTGTTGCCAGTTTTCCAGAAAAAAATTAAAATGTAAGAGGAGGGTGAATTTTCCTTAATTTTGCCTAAATAAGTCAATTTTCTTTGAATTTATCCTGGAGTGATTTTTCACTGACAAATTTTGAAATTTTCGTAAAATGAGCTCCCCATTTTTCTCTTATTCCTGGAAAATTCTCAAAATTTTCTCTTTGCCTGTTTTCCAGAAAAAAATAATAAAATGTAAGAGAGTGAATTTTCCTTAATTTTACTTGTAAAAGTCAATTTTTTAGAATTTTTCATGGAGTGATTTTTCACAGGAAAATTTTGAAATTTTTCTATAATGAGCTCGTCACTTTCCTTTTTCTTTTGGGAAAATTTAACAATTTTTGCTTTGCCAGTTTTCCAGAAAAAAATTGAAATATGTAAGGATGAATTATGCTTAAAAAAGTCAATTTTCCAGAACTTTCCTCTCGATTTTCCTTGGAGTGATTTTCCACTGGGAAATTTTAAAATTTTCCTATGATGAGCTCGTCACTTTCCTTTTTCTTTTGGAAAAATTTAACAATTTTTGCTTTGCCAGTTTTCCAGAAAAAAATTGAAATGTGTAAGGATGAATTTTCCTTAAAAAAGTCAATTCTCCAGAACTTTCCTCTCGATTTTCCTTGGAGTGATTTTTCACAAGAAAATTTTGAAATTTTCCTATGATGAGCTCCTCATTTTCTTATTTCTCCTGGAAAAATTTCACAAATTTTGCTTTATTAGTTTTCCAGAAATAAATTGAAATGTGAGAGGATGAGTTTTTCTAAATTTTACTTGAAAAAGTAATTTTATCAGAATTCTTCCTGGAGCGATTTTCCATTAGAAAATTTTGAAATTTTCTTATATAATGAGCTCCTGACTTTTCTTTTTTCCTCTTTTGCCAGTTTTCCAGAAAAAAATTGAAATGTGTGAGGATGAATTTTCCTTAATTTCACTTGAAAAAATTAATTTTCCAGAATTTTCCCTGGAGTGATTTCTCACTGGAAAATTTCGAAATTTCCCTATAATAAGGTCCTCACTATCCTCTTTCTCTTAGAAAATTTTCAAAATTTTCCCTCTGCCAGTTTTCCAGAAAAAAATTTAAATGTAAGAGGGTGAATTTTCCTTAATTTTACCCAAAATAAGTCAATTTTCTTTGAATTTTTGTTATAATGAGTTCCAAACTTTTCTCTTTTCCCTGGAAAATGTTGAAAATTTTCCCATTGCTAGTTTTCCAAAAAAAAAATTTAAATGTGAAAGGGTGAATTTTCCTTAATTTTGCTTAAATAACTTAATTTTCCAGAATTATTTCTGGAGTAATTTTTCGCTGGTAAATTTTGAAATTTTCTTATATTGAGTTCCTCACTTTTCTCTTTCTTCTGGAAAAATTCCACAATTTTTGCTTTGCCAGTTTTCCAGAAAAAAATTGAAATGTGAAAGGATGAATTTTGCTTAAAAAAATCAATTTTCCAGAACTTTCCTCTCGACTTTCCTTAAAGTGATTTTTCACTAGAAAATTTTGAAATTTTCCTATAATGAGCTCTTCATTTTCTTCTTTCTCCTGGAAAAATTTCACATGTTTTGCTTTATTAGTTTTCCAGAAATAAATTGAAATGTGAGAGGATAAGTTTTTCTTAATTTTACTTGAAAAAGTCATTTTTTCAGAATGCCATTCTTCATTGGAAAATTTTGAAACTTTCTTATAATGAGCTGCTGACTTTCCTCTTTTTCCTCTTTTGCCATTTTTCCAGAAAAAAATTGAAATGTGAGAGGATGAATTTTCCTTAATAAAGTTAATTTTCCCTGGAGTAATTTCTCACTGGAAAATTCCGAAATTTCCCTATAATGAGCTCCTCACTTTCCTCTTTTTTCTGGAAAATTTTCTAAGTTTTCTCTCTGCCATTTTTCCATAAAAAAATTAAAATGTTAGAGGGTGAATTTTCCTTAATTTTGCTTAAATAAGTCTTTTTCCCAGAATTTTTTATGGAGTGTTTTTTTATTGGAAAATTTTAAGATTTTGCTATAATGTGCTCTTTACTTTCCTCTTTTTTCTGGAAGATTTTCACAAATTTCCTTTTGCAAATTTCCCAGAAAAAATTTAAATGTAAGAGGGTGAATTTTGCCTAAAAAAGTTAATTTCCCAGAATTTTTCCTGGAGTGATGTTCCACTGAAAAAGTTTGAAATTTTCATTTTTCTCTTTCTTCTGGAAAAATTTCACAATTTTCCCTTTGCCAGATTTCTAGAAAAAAAATTAAAAAGTAAGAGGGTGAATTCTCCTTAATTTTGCTTGAAAAAGTTAGTAGTGATTTTTCACTGGAAAATTTCGAAATTTTCCTGAAATGAGCTCCTCATTTTCCTTTTATTCCTGAAAAATTTTCAAAATTTTCCCTTTGCAAGTTTTCCAGACAAAAATTAAAAGGGGGTGAATTTTTTTTAAATTTTGCCTAAATACCTAAGTGAATTTTTTAAAATATATTTGAGATTTCAACTAAAAAAAAAACAAAGAATCACCCTTTGCCGTTTGTACATGATATTTAGGAACACCCTGTAAAATACGCAGTTAATAAATTTATATATTTGAGACGCCAATGATTTTTTAAGGGCCGGTATTTCAATGTCACCTTAAGATATAGAATAAACATAGACATTGACAACATTGTCTGACCTTGTTCGATGATGTCATCGTAAATATAACATAAAAACCGTATATTTTAGGGTAAGTCTTAATTTTAGGGTGATATTGTAATACCGGCCCGGGTTGAAAAATTTGCAAAAAAAATATAATAATTTGGTTGCACTAATTTTTTATATTAGTGTTAGGTAGTGCCACTGTAGGTAGTGCTATGGTGGGATGCCGAATGGGAGTGCTAATTTTTGCCCCTAGTTGCGCCTATGGGTAACGATTTATGTTCTAAATCAAATAAACATGAATAATTATTTTATTGAAGCACCCTACTTTACAATAAAGCACGTAGTTGTCGCAAGTTCATGCTAAATCCGAGGGTTGCAATATTTACCCCTCTATCGATTTATATTGCAATTCAAATAATAGTGCAGGGGTCGAATATATGGAGATGGGAGGGTGAAATTTCGCCGTAACTCCCATACTTTCATAATTATTTTATTCTAAATTTGTATGTGGTCATGATACAGAAGTTTCAATCTAATAAACGTCTTTTGTTGGAGATTTTTTTGATCATAATTCCACATTGCTATTAATTCATTAATATTTTTATTATAGGTATCGAGTGGTGTGCTTATCTGCACATATCGTATATCCTGCAAAGCTGATAAATTAAAGTGAAGTTTGCAAAAATCTTATTCAGATAAAATAAAAGACGTCAACGTTTCCTTATCATCAAGCTTGAAACTAATCTGCCTTAATATCGATAGTCTAATATTAAAGGTGCAGAGTTTATTGGCAAAATTTTAGATAACACATTATTTACCTACCTAATTTAAAGATTTGCAACTTTCTAGAATAATAATGATTTGAGAAGACGTCTAGGAGAAAATGCAATACTTACCTAAGGTTTCCAATTCCAATTTGCTCGATGATATACCTTTGTCATTTTGAATTATTATTTTGCATGTTATACGAAAACATGATAATGCTTTAACTTTGTGGTAATATCGCTGTATATGACACACAAATTTTAATTTAGCAGAATTACATAAATCAAAACAATTATTACCTATATTGTTATAATTATTTAGGATTAAGTATAGGATAACAATATTTATTCAAGACGATAAATGTTAATGATAGCAGGATTACTGAATTATTTGGTTTTATCACAAGGTGTTTTCCATGTACCACTTTAATAAATCATTTATGTTCAAAAAAAAAAAAAAATCTGATTAAATTTCAATAAATACTATCGTTATCATTTGTAAAAATTAGAAAGACACGTTCGTATCCAGTTCGTCCAAATTTCCATTGGTCGACAACACGCGCCTAAAGTTTCATCCCTTATCGATTTCTCGAACAAAACTGCGCCCCGTTTGCCAAAAGTGCGGTGCAGTCAAACGAAGGGTGGTTTTGCCAGCAGACGGTAGTTAAAGGGCGTCGTCCCTCATCCCTTAATGCCGGATAGTTTTGTTCCATCCATTTAGTCATAGTGTTGTTTCAGTGTTTTTCGTGTACTAGCTAGTTAGATTTTTTAGTAAAAAAAAATATTAATAAAATGGGAGGGTGTGCTTCCAAGGAAAATTCTGCCAAAGAGCCGAAAAAAGAGGATGATACCGGGTTTGTACAATTGCTCATGCATGGGTCAATAGCACGATGTCCATGGGACTGGCCTGGATTAATGTGGAAGCTTCTCTATGTGTTGTGTTTCCTGTCTTGTGGCTATATCTATACATTAAGTACGCTTATTTATTTTCTTTCTTGTATTAAACTGTATCCGGCCGGCCGGCGATATATCTAATTTATTCAAAATTTTCTGGAAAAAAAAAGCATGAAGAGTGTGTTATTATTTTATTTTTGGTTTTTATATTGCACTTATTGGATGTTTTGTTGTTTTTTTTTTTATGTTTTATTTGTGTGGTTTCGTATTTGGAAATTACATCATTGTATATAATTACTTACACTTTTTTTTTTAAATTAAATTCCCATAGAAAAAAGGGCGTTTTCAAATTATTGTCTATTTTATGGGAGAGCGAGACATTAGGGGTGGATCGATATTGCATTAAAGTTCCGGGTTAATCATCAAATACAAGAAATGCCCTCTCTCTATCAGTTGGGGAGTTGTTTCAACTCTAAAATAAAGTTTACTGGGGTAAATAGTAGAAGGTCCATTCAATATGTTTATTTAATTTTTTTTGTAGCAAAAAAGACACTCCAGTTGACGCTGAAGTTCTGGAAAAACTTGAAGCCGGCTTTAAGAAACTTGAAGATTCAGACTCAAAGTCCCTCCTGAAAAAATACCTTACCAAAGAAGTGTTTGATAATCTGAAGACCAAGAAAACCTCTTTTGGCTCCACCCTTCTAGATGTCATCCAGTCAGGTATACTTACAAATATTTTCTGTCTATATACAGTGTGTCCACTCAAGTTCGCAGCATATGGGAAACTTTTTTATTATCAATTTTACGAAAAAAAAAGTTATTCTCTATAAAAGTTTCTGCTTCTTGAAAAAATAATATTAAACTACTAAAACTTGAAATAGCATGTACAGGGTAATCAAAAAATAGAAAAATATACAGGGTGTTTCCTAAGTACGGTTCGTAACTTCAGGATGTGATTCCTTACAATATTTTAAGCAAAAAAGTTCCGATAAACATGTGTCCGGATATGCGTAGTTTCTGAGATACAGGGTGCCAAAGTTTTAGAAAAAAACGTTTTTTTAGCCCAAAAATCCCCTTTCCAATTTATTTTTTCAAATTTGGCAGGTTTGTTTGTGTGTTTGTGATAACGAAAGGTATCTTCTGACTGTAATATGACTTGCTTAATCTGAAAAAAATATCAAAGGTTTTAAAAAATAGTGACGTGCCATTTTTTTTCTACTTTCATCAAAATTTTTTTCTATTTTCTGACCATCCTGTACATGCTATTTCAAGTTTCAATAGTTTAATACTCTTTTTTCAAGAAGCAGAAACTTTTATAAGGAATAACTTTTTTCCGTAAAATTGATAATAAAAAAGTTACCCATGCTGCGAACTTAAGTGGACACACTGTATATAACTTCTAGCCAAACTTCCCAACAGCAAAAATTAAATTGGCAAAAATCCCATAAATATTTTTGGGAATCATAAAATCTATGCACTATACTATTAATTTTTCCTTTTGTTTCAGGTATTGAAAATCCTGACTCGGGCGTTGGCATTTACGCTCCAGATGCTGAAGCCTACATTGTGTTCGCCGATTTGTTTGATCCGATCATCGAAGACTACCATAAAGGTTTCACCAAAACTGACAAGCACCCACCCAAAAACTGGGGAGATGTCAGTGTGTTTGGTAATTTGGATCCTACTGGAGATTACATCGTTTCCACCCGGGTGAGATGTGGTAGGTCCATGGAAGGTTATCCTTTCAACCCTTGCCTAACTGAAGACCAATACAAAGAAATGGAGCAAAAAGTATCGACTACTCTATCAGGCCTTGAAGGGGAGCTTAAGGGTACCTTCTATCCATTGACTGGCATGAGCAAAGATGTTCAACAAAAATTGATCGACGATCACTTTTTGTTCAAAGAAGGTGACAGATTCTTACAGGCAGCCAACGCTTGCCGTTTCTGGCCATCTGGACGTGGTATCTATCACAACGACAACAAAACCTTTTTGGTATGGTGCAACGAAGAAGACCACCTTCGACTCATTTCCATGCAAATGGGTGGCGACTTGGGCGAAGTCTATCGTCGCCTTGTTACAGCAGTAAACGACATCGAAAAACGCATTCCTTTCTCTCACCACGACCGACTTGGTTTCCTTACGTTCTGCCCAACCAACTTGGGCACCACTGTACGTGCTTCAGTGCACATCAAAGTGCCAAAATTGGCTGCAAACAAGGCCAAACTTGAAGAAGTTGCTGCCAAATACAACTTGCAAGTGCGCGGTACCAGAGGTGAACATACCGAAGCTGAAGGAGGCATCTATGATATCTCCAACAAAAGGCGTATGGGGCTTACAGAATTCGAAGCTGTCAAGGAAATGTATGACGGTATTGCCGAGCTGATCAAAATCGAGAAAGAATTGTAAACCTCACATTTTGGATGATCATTTAATTATATAAGCAATTTTTTAACACTTTCTCATTGATACTATTTTGGTTGCAGATTACTGACATTACTGTAAAAAGTAAATTATGTTTGTTAAAGGCATTTTATGTAAGCTTATTTTACCTATACCTCCCAGTACCAGTAAACTCAATCAAAAAAAATGGAAATTTTGTGATGTATTTTACTAATTTATTTTGGGGTCTTGCACAAAAAATTGTTGAATTTTGTTAATAAAAACTCTGATACCAAATATAATACATTTGAATGGTGCTACAAAATCCATGAAGATCCTGAAATCCTTTCCTTTAGCTGGAATTCATAATTTTCAGTCCGATTGATACGGTTTAACAAGTCCAAATGAGGCGCGCGCAGCGTCTAAGGGACTTGGTCCAAACCAATGACCAAACACACTTGGACCGTGTCAACGTGGATTATTAAGCTAGGTTAACACGGTCCAAGGTCCAATTTGTGCTTGCTACTTACTTGGATGTTGGAACTCATCCAACTGGATTTGAATAAGTTGATAGGATCCAAGTGAGGCGCGCGCAGTGTCCAAGCGTACTTGATTCGAGTACACTTGGATCGTGTCAACCTGGCTCAAGCTTGGTTCACAAGTCCAAAGTGCTCTTGGATGAGAACTTGGACCAAGTAAGTTTGCAGCTAAGTTTACTTTCAGCAGGGTTGACACGGTCGGAGTGTTTGGTCCTAGTGTGCTTGGATGTTAGAACCTATCCAACTGGACTTGGATAAAACAGTTGATACGATACAAGTATCGTCCAAAGGAGTATCCATGTACTTAATCCAGGGATCCACGTAGTCCAAGTACACTTGGGCCGAGTCAACCTGGCTTAGTGCACGTAGATGAAAACTTCGACCAAGTAAGTTGGCAGCCAGCCTACTTACTTGAATGTTAGGCGCTATCCTATTGGACTTCGATAAAACAGTTGATACGAACCCAATATATCATCCAAGTGAGGCGCGCGGAGCGTCCAAGTGTACTTGATTCAAGTACAATTGGACCATGTCTACTTGATCCAAATACACTTGGACCGTGTCAACTTGGCGCAAGCCTGGTTGACAGGTCCAAATCGCTTGGTCCAAGCCCTCTTGGATGAAAACTTGGATTAAGTAAGTTGGTGGCCAGCCTACTTTTAGCCGGGTTGATACGGTCCGAGTGTGCTTGGATGACAACTTGGACCAAGTTAGTTAGCAGCCAGCTTACTTACTTGTATGATAGAACCCATTCAACTGTACTTGAATAAGTTGATACGATCCAACTATCGTCCAGTCCAAAAGATGCGCATTATCGAAGGATCCAAGTATACTGGATGAAAACTTGGACCAATAAGTTTGCAGCCAGCCCACTTGGATCCAGAGTAAGTTGGCGGTCAGCCTACTTAAAGGGAGTGTGTGCCAAAAAAACAGCTACATCTAAAAAAAAAAGGAAAAAAATCTAAGAATAACAGTGATAACCGCACCCCCCTATAATTAATACCGAAGATACGGCTCTGTGACGATACCGCATCTCACCCTATGACGTCACGAGAGCTCAAGCGCCGCACGAGATAGTGAAGTGCATTGAATTTTTCCTGTGCCACCTGTAATAATCTGAACAAAAACTACTGACTGGTGCCGGGAACAATTAAATGAACAATGCAGAGCCTGCATGGCTGGATGAAGCTCTCGTGACGTCACACATACTCTAGGGTAGTATATCTCAGCGATGGTTTATCGTAGAATAACGAGGTTTGAACAGTTATTCTTGGATTTTTTTGAGCCTGAACTTCAAATTTTGGTGCACACCCCTTTCAAGCGTCCAAGGGGATCCAATAAGTACACTTGGGCCGTTTCAACCTGCCTTTAAGCCAGGTCCGAGTGCCCTTGAACCAAGTAAATTTGCAGCCAGCCTGCTTACTTGGGATTTTAGAACCCATCCAACTGGACTGGATAAGTTGACACGATCCAACTATCGTTAAGTCCAATAGATGCGCAGTGTCCGAGCGTACTTAATCCAAAGATCCGAGTAGGTAAAGTATTACTCACCTGACAACAAAGAGATCGATAGATGTGGTAGTCGATCGCAAACAATTACAAAAACAATAGTAACTCAATTTGGAGCAAATTCTATAACATTTTCAACTTTGGCCATAAGTAGAAACCAGGGACCCGGACCGAAATGAAATATCGGTTCCGTTCCGGTTCCGGTCCACAGCGTCATGACAAATATCGGTTCTGTTACGGTTCCGGTTCTAAGAGAAATATTTCGATTCGGTTCGAACCAATAATTTCGGTTTAAACGGTTCATACCGGTATAGTTTTTCACAAATATCTAACAGAAAAATTTAAAAAATATATTTAGCAGAAAAATTAAAGTATCAGTGATGACGTCTCAGCGTGTGGTTTCTCGCCTTGACGTAGGGTGTTTGCACCATAGGCTATGATTATGCGGACTTTTGCTTTATGCATACTTGGTTTCAGTACGTTAATTAACATCCTATTTCTCTCTCTCTCTCTTTGCCTATTTTGCTAATTCAAAATTAAATAATATTTTTTATCATATTCTTAACCATGACCGCTGGCGCAAACCGCTAACGACACCGTTGATGACGTCGGCAACGGTGCAACACCATATGAACTTGATTCCAAAAATCAAGGCCGATGAGCAATCCTGTAGTGTGTAATGTGTAGTATCCTTGGTGTAGCCTTGCCTAGTTCAGAAATGCGCGCTTTCCAACGCTCTGTTTTTAGAGTATTAAATTAATAAATTTTTTACGATACGAACAATCAGCAAACAGCCTAATTGACCTTTTGTTTGGGCGCCATATTGCGGTGCGCGAACATAGTTGCCAAAAGAAGAAAACAAAAATTACTAGCGGGATGTCAACATTAAAAAAAAAGTAACTAAATGATTGATCCTTGCTATCCTTTTTGTTTATTTACTTTCTTTCTCTGATCCTATAAACAATAAAGCCTAGTATACTCATAACCGCGAAATTCGCTCTTTTTTCATGCTTCGACAATTTGACGTTTGATTCACGCATAAAACGTCAAATTGTCGGAGCAATGTCAAAAAAGAGCAAATTCCGCGGTTATGAGTACTAGGCTTGGGAAAGGAAACCGAAATTTGGTAAAGTGAATAGGTAGATATTTTTTGATAGTGGAGTATTTCTTGGTAGATATTTTATTATTTCTATTCTGCCCAATACAAGTTAAAATTGATGGCTTTTCTTTTCAAAAACATTCGTAATAGGCGGCAAATTTAAATTTGAATTGTAATTTATTCAGTAACTTTTATTTTTAATGTTGACAATACGCTAGTGATTTTTTTTTTCTACTTTTGGCAACTATGTTCGCGCACCGCAATATGGCGTCCAAACAAAAGGTCAATTTATGAAATCTTGAAACCGAAAAAATTTACCGGTAAAAACCGATTCATTCATATCGGTTCCGGTTCTGTCTACCTTACAACATTTCTATGAAATATGGGTACCGTTCCGGATCCGGTTCGCAAAAAAAAACGGTTTCGTTCCGGTTTTCGGTTCAATATCCAGTGTTACCAATTACAGTGGCTAAATAAACCTTTACATACAGTGGCGACAATAGAGGTCCCGCCGCCATCTTGTTCCCAACCTCTTGTTACTTTTAAATATTAGTACATAGGATTTGAATGGACATCTATCATAAAAAATTGAAATCGACGTATTTGATGACCATTATTAGGTCCATCAAATACGTTGTTTTCCATGATTTATGATGGATGTTCACCTAAATCCCATATATTTATATTTAAAAGTAACAAGGGGTTGGGAACAAGATGGCGGCGTTTTTAATATAAATATATGGGATTTTTGAACCAATCAAAAATAAGACAGCGATTGTCGCCACTGTGGGTTATAGAGTCACTGTATTACCAATGTGTGAGCATTTGCTCACATTTGTGAGCGTTTGATATATCTAGGGGTAAAAATGGGAGCATTGACAAGATGTGAGCATTTTTGGTATTTATTAACCGAAAAAAATAAAAATTAAATTAAATTCGTCCTAACACGAGAGCCATGCCATGTCATAACTCTCGTGGCAAAGCAAACAGCAAGCGCCTAACTTTTTAGAAAAGAACTATGTATGTCACGTCACGTGTCAAGATTGTCAAGAGGCCGTTTTAGAAACGCTGATTCCATTCAAGGATGATACACACTCACTACTACTACAGGATGGCCTATCCTCAAAAGAGTCATAAGGCCTCTGTGTAACAAATCCCCCCCTCGCCAAAATACCAGTTGTGACGTAGACAGAATGTCATTTCTTGCCTTGACTCTTGACGTAGGCTGTTTAAACAGCTGACGAATTAGTTATGACGTCAGAAATGGTATCACACTAATATGGCGGCGATTACCAAAAACGAGGCTGATAAGCACTCCTTATGCCCCAATCTCACTTGCGCGAAATTCGCTCTTTTTTGACATTGCATCGACAAATTGATGTTTAATACGCGCATAAAACGTCAAATTGTCGAAGATATCCCCTCTTTTCTATTCTAATCGGTGACTTCTCCGATGAGTTAGCTATCTTCGTTTAGTGAATGGAAAATGACAATGACCGACATAGAATGGTGAATCCATCAGTAAAATTTGATGAGAATAAAAACGCAGGAAATGTCAAAAAAGAGCGAATTTCGCGCAAGTCAGAATGAGGCATTAGAGTGTGTATTCTTTGGATTGCAACAGCCAATCACCAGCTGTTTGTTATTTATTTTTTTCCAATGAACACGATTGAAAAATGATGTACATCAGCCTGGTGATCCCGTAGTCAAATGTCAAATGTCATACTTAATCTGGAAAACTCGAAAACACATTTTGACATTGACGTTATTTTTAGTGCATGTGAGCACAATGTGAGCGTTTTCACTACAAATGGGGAGCATTTTGATAACTTCCCGTTGGCAACACTGTCAATATCGTTCCGGTCCGGGTCCCTGGTAGAAACCCTGAAACTCTACCCATCTTGAAAAAAAAAGACACAATGTTAATCATACCTACACTTGGACCGTGTCAACCTGGCTTAGTGCACTTGGATGATAATTTGGACCAAGTAAGTTAGCAGCCAGCCTACTTGAAAGTCCAACGGTACTTTGATCCAAGTACACTAGACAGTGTCAACCCAGCTTTGTGGAAGAAATGCTAGTGCAGTTTGTGCAGCACAAACGTCCACACTCTTGAATTTCTGCAACCAACCAAAAACAAATAGGCTTTGCAATTAGGCAATCCTTACGACGTGACATGCAAGATGGCGTGGTGGTCACACATGGGCCAAACTTCATATTTTAGTCGTGTGATGTCTGCTGTTTTTTCGGAGCTTCACAGTTTTATGTACTTTAAGGGGTATTTGTAAGAGGTAAAATCTGTTAAGTGCAATACGACAAGACATTATCATTATGCAGAGTCTATATTTGCAGGAACTTGGTGCCCTGGGTAGGGATTCTAAAATCACGATTCGACACACGACTCGACAACGATACCGGCCCTGTCGTCTCGAAAGGTATGATTTTAATGAGATTCTAACCTAGAATCGTCGGAAAAATCGTCTCGTTATCGAATCGTGTGTCGAATCGTGATTTTAGCATCCCCGACCAGGCAGGATTATCCACATCCTCTAGTTACTTTATGGTTTTCCTATTATAAAACCATATTATGATGGTTGACGTGATGCAAAATAGCACATAGCACATTAAATTGCGGAAAACATACTGAACTGGGCACGCTTGGGATCCTGGTAGGTTTGAGACACATTGTCCCTTTCTCGGGGGCTTCCACATCACACAACCATACACTTATTCGGCATTTTACAATACACGATCAGACCAAGCAAAACTCGAAGCAAAATAACCAATAAATAACTTAAATCGCATAAAAACACATATTCAAAATAAACTTGCTTGGCCGCCAGGCCATATTGAATTTAAAGCCTGACAGATGTCAAGAAGGATGGAGGAAAAAAGTGAGGTTATGTAGATTGTTTTGTTGCTGTTTTTCACTTTTACAAAATATTCCACAATCCAGATACTTACTTGAATTTTAATAATCAAATATCCAGAACATTCCAACAGATCATTCGAGTTTATAATTTCTGCATATGGAATCCAAAAAAGGTAAATAAAATATGATAACTGAAACCTCTTTAAAACAAGGTTCTATCCAATGTTCTAGCTAACTAAAATATACATACTGCACAGGGCCTTAGGTACAGTTTTATCAGGGCTCTTATCAATACTGCATTATCATTTTTTTATTCCCTCAAAATCAGAGTTGGCTTCATTTGATCAGGAACTTTAGGGCTTATGAATGGATCATTTTTTGAGAAAAACAGACTATAACATTCAGGTTGCTTTTTGAACTGACTTTACCTACCTTTATATTGTGAGGCACTTCTAGTTTTTCAAGTCTTGAAGGATTTGGTTTTGCACAGACCCAGTCTTTTCCTCAATTAACCACCAGTAGTTAATGTCCTCTTGTATATAAAATTTTTCTTAGGGCCGCTATATTGATCGTTTGTCAATTAAACAACAACCTTAGAATGTATTACACAATAACAATAACAATATTAACATTTACACATTCTAAGGTATTTGTTAACTATACTAGTTTATAAAATATAATAATTTGCATTGCATGGTGTGTTAGTTTATCATAGTCAAGATTTCCTAATATTATCTATTGACAATCCGATGTCCAAAGGTAAAGGTGAAATTTATCACCTTTCAGTGCTATTTCGTGGGGAAACGTGATAAATTTACCTTTACCTTTGGACTACGGATTGTAAATAGGATATAGATGTTAGAACAGAGTGTTCAAACATTGTACATCCATTGTGCTAACATTCTCATATATCATCATTCTTAACCAAAATAAGGTAGGTAACATAAAAATGTCCAGAAAACACAATTCATAACAAAGCAACTATTAATTTAATTTACAATTATTATTAATTTTCAGAATGTCAGACCAGAATAATGGATTTCCTGATTTCTTTTATGTAACAGGCCCACTACCATACAAAGTTACCCCATTAGCTTTTGGGGATAAAACTTGCTGGAAACTCACATTGGAAACTTCAGATAAACCTCAAGAACAAGAAAACCCTCAATTAGAACCTTATTTGGACAACGACGACGATTTAATAGATTGCATGGACATGGAGGAAACCCATAACATTACTTATACAAAATCTGGCAAGTTTCAAACTTCAATGTATGTCCCTTCTAGCCTTTTTTCCTTTATTATTGGAGCCAAAGGCAGCAAATTGAAGGCACTTCAAAACAGCACAAACACTTCAATCAAAGTACCACGTATAAATGAAAAGGGAGACATTATAATTGAAGGAAATACTGAGAGACAAGTAGCTTCAGCTAAAACCCAAATCGATATAATAATAGCACAGGGAAAAGAAAGAATGCCTCCAACACATTTTGTCTCTATACCAATCAAATCAGATATGATTAGTTCAAACTTATTAAAATTCAAAAAAAGTGTTTTAGAACAACCTGCAAGAGGAATCACAGAGTCAATATTTCAAAAAGACGTTAAAATGCATTTGACTGTTGTTATGCTCAAATTATTGGATGAAGGCGAAGTTACTAGAGCCATAAACATTCTACAATCTTGTTATGCCAACCACATTTCTAAAATATTTGAAAAACCTCAGAAAGCCATTATCCAAGGTTTGGAAATAATGAACGATGACCCTTCAAATGTTAATGTTTTATATGCAGAAGTAAAAATTCAAAATCCAGAGAAGTTACAAACAATGTGCGATACTATTGCAAATTATTTCAACAAAGCTGGCTTAGCTAAAAAGGAGTATGACAGGGTCAAATTGCACATGACTGTAATGAATAAAAGTTTTAGGCACGAGAGTGAGCAAAAAATGTCTTTTGATGCAAGCAAAATATTGGAAAGTCACAAGGACTTTTATTTTGGAGAGTTTGAATTGAATCAGTTGGATTTGTGCATTAGAGGAACTACCACTAGTAATACTGGGGAGATGAAATATTATGATACAGCTTTAACAATTCAGTTATAATTTATTTTAAACAAAATAAAGTGCTATAATACTGTGTAATATAATATACAAAATGTTTTACATCTTAGTTATTATTGTTAACTAATTGTTTGGCAGCTTTTAGCGTGTTGAACATGAGCATTGCCACTGTCATGGGTCCCACACCTCCTGGCACTGGAGTTATATAACCAGCAACTTTACTTACTCCTAATTAAAAAAAATAAATAATTTAAACATATTGATTTATTAGAATTTGTTTTTACCTTCAAAATCAACATCCCCCACTAGTTTAGTTTTGCCCTCTTCAGTTGTTATCCTATTAATTCCAACATCTATAACACAAGCTCCTGGTTTTATCATTTGGGGTTTGATTAAATTGACAACGCCTGTGGCACTGATAATGATATCTGCTCTTTTAGCGAAAAATTCCAATTCTTCAGGTGGTGTATGCCTGTGGCATAATGTGACAGTCGCTTCATGTCCTGGCAGTTCGTACTTTGCATCAGAGTGCAACAATAAGGCCATTGGCAGACCGACATTTTTGGAACGCCCACAAATCACTATATTTTTGCCAAAAGTTGGAATGTTGTAGCGCTTAATTAATTCAATGACTCCTAAAGCGGTTGCAGGGACAAATGTATCAGCGTTGGCCATTAGTTTGCCAACATTTATGGTGTGGAAGCCATCGACGTCTTTTTGAGGGTCCACAGCGTTCATGACTTTTTTTTCACAAATGTGCTCTGGTACTGGCAGTTGCACCAAAATACCGTCAACATTTGAATCTTGGTTGAGTTTGTCAATTTGTGTGAGCAACACAGATTCTTCAGTTGTGTCAGCCAGTCTTATTGTTTTTGATTCTATGCCTGTTGAGATTTGGTTGTGTCGATTAAAAAGTAAAAACATAGGATATAATTGAAGACTTACCAACAGCTTTGCAAGCTATCATTTTGTTTTCTACGTATTTTTGACTGGCTGGATCTTCTCCAACTAGTATAGCTATTAAACATGGTCTTCTGTGGCCCTGACCAACCCACTGATCAATTTCTTTTTTGACTTCGGCTTTGATTTCTGCAGATATTTTCTTACCATCAATTATATTGGCTGTTTTTCTGTAAATTAATACATTTTTATAAATAAGTGTTTTCAGTCCAAAAAAAAAACTTACTCAAAGCGTAATCTTTTGCTACTTTGTAATATTTCTGGCATTTTTAATTAAATAGGGTTATTAATAAATCACTGATTCTCTCTGGGAGCAATACTAATAATAATCTGACCCCCCACTGGCAGTCTTTTTATACCAAACGATGGAAAAACAAGAAGTGTGGAAATTGTTTGCATTATCAGCGTTATTGGCAATGAATGACGTAGAATAAGACTTATGGATATTATTTTGTTATTTTGGACAAACAAATTTGTTTTGCACAATAATTTACAATTTGGGAAAAATAGGGCAGGATTTCTAGCTATGAAATGCTAGGTTGTATATGAAAATCCGATAAATCTTACATTTCACCCAATGGAAAAATTATTTCTATTGGAGGTTTTATACCCTCGATTTTTAGTTTGATAGTTTTTAACGCACTGTCTTTAATCTTTTTAAAACCTTTCTTGAAACCAGTGGCGGTCCATACATGATTATCTGGAGGGGGTTATGGATGAGGGAAAAATCATATGTAAAAAATACCAAAAACTCAAAGCGATTGAGTTATTATTAATAGAGTTACGATTTTATTGAAAATAATGATATTTTGTGAAGTGAGACTTTACAATTTTTTCACACAAAAACTAAAGTGAGTGGAAAGTTGAAATTTTGAGGACTTTTTCCTAATGATTCAATGTAAAAAATACTAAAAACTCAGAGCGATTGAATTATTATTAATGGAGTTACGATTTTATTGAAAATAATGATGTTTTGTAAAGTAACACTTTACAAACAATTTTTTCACTCAAAAACTAAAGTGAGTAGAAAGTAGAAATTTTGAGGACTTTTTCCAAATGATTCAATGTAAAAAATACTAAAAACTCAAAGCGATTGAGTTATTATTAATGGAGTTACGATTTTATTGAAAATAATGGTGTTTTGTAAAGTAAGACTTTACAAACAATTTTTTCACTCGAAAACTAAAGTAAGTGGAAAGTTGAAATTTTGAGGACTTTTTTCTAATGATTCAATGTAAAAAATACTAAAAATTCCAAGCGATTGAGTTATTATTAATGGAGTTACGATTTTATTGAAAATAATGATATTTTGTGAAGTGAGACTTTACAATTTTTTCACACAAAAACTAAAGTGAGTGGAAAGTTGAAATTTTGAGGACTTTTTCCTAATGATTCAATGTAAAAAATACTAAAAACTCAAAGCGATTGAGTTATTATTAATGGAGTTACTATTTTATTGAAAATAATGGTGTTTTGTAAAGTAAGACTTTACAAACAATTTTTTCACTCGAAAACTAAAGTAAGTGGAAAGTTGAAATTTTGAGGACTTTTTTCTAATGATTCAATGTAAAAAATACTAAAAATTCCAAGCGATTGAGTTATTATTAATGGAGTTACGATTTTATTGAAAATAATGATGTTTTGTAAAGTAAGACTTTACAAACAATTTTTTCACTCAAAAACTAAAGTGAGTGGAAAGTTGAAATTTTGAGGACTTTTTCCTAATGATTCAATGTAAAAAATACTAAAAATTCAAAGCGATTGAGTTATTATTAATGGAGTTACGATTTTATTGAAAATAATGATGTTTTGTAAAGTAAGACTTTACAAACAATTTTTTCACTCAAAAACTAAAGTGAGTGGAAAATTGAAATTTTGAGGACTTTTTCCTAATGATTCAATGTAAAAAATACTAAAAACTCAAAGCGATTGAGTTATTATTAATGGAGTTACTATTTTATTGAAAATAATGGTGTTTTGTAAAGTAAGACTTTACAAACAATTTTTTCACTCGAAAACTAAAGTAAGTGGAAAGTTGAAATTTTGAGGACTTTTTTCTAATGATTCAATGTAAAAAATACTAAAAATTCCAAGCGATTGAGTTATTATTAATGGAGTTACGATTTTATTGAAAATAATGATATTTTGTGAAGTGAGACTTTACAATTTTTTCACACAAAAACTAAAGTGAGTGGAAAGTTGAAATTTTGAGGACTTTTTCCTAATGATTCAATGTAAAAAATACTAAAAACTCGAAGCGATTGAGTTATTATTAATGGAGTTACTATTTTATTGAAAATAATGGTGTTTTGTAAAGTAAGACTTTACAAACAATTTTTTCACTCGAAAACTAAAGTAAGTGGAAAGTTGAAATTTTGAGGACTTTTTTCTAATGATTCAATGTGAAAAATACTAAAAACTCAAAGCGATTGAGTTATTATTAATGGAGTTACTATTTTATTGAAAATAATGGTGTTTTGTAAAGTAAGACTTTACAAACAATTTTTTCACTCGAAAACTAAAGTAAGTGGAAAGTTGAAATTTTGAGGACTTTTTTCTAATGATTCAATGTAAAAAATACTAAAAATTCCAAGCGATTGAGTTATTATTAATGGAGTTACGATTTTATTGAAAATAATGATATTTTGTGAAGTGAGACTTTACAATTTTTTCACACAAAAACTAAAGTGAGTGGAAAGTTGAAATTTTGAGGACTTTTTCCTAATGATTCAATGTAAAAAATACTAAAAACTCAAAGCGATTGAGTTATTATTAATGGAGTTACTATTTTATTGAAAATAATGGTGTTTTGTAAAGTAAGACTTTACAAACAATTTTTTCACTCGAAAACTAAAGTAAGTGGAAAGTTGAAATTTTGAGGACTTTTTTCTAATGATTCAATGTAAAAAATACTAAAAATTCCAAGCGATTGAGTTATTATTAATGGAGTTACGATTTTATTGAAAATAATGATGTTTTGTAAAGTAAGACTTTACAAACAATTTTTTCACTCAAAAACTAAAGTGAGTGGAAAGTTGAAATTTCGAGAACTTTTTCCTAATGATTCAATGTAAAAAATACTAAAAATTCAAAGCGATTGAGTTATTATTAATGGAGTTACGATTTTATTGAAAATAATGATGTTTTGTAAAGTAAGACTTTACAAACAATTTTTTCACTCAAAAACTAAAGTGAGCGGAAAATTGAAATTTTGAGGACTTTTTCCTAATGATTTAATGTAAAAAATACTAAAAATTCAACGCGATTGAGTTATTATTAATGGAGTTACGATTTTATTGAAAATAATGATATTTTGTAATGAGACTTTGACTTTACAAACAATTTTTTCACACAAAAACTAAAGTGAGTGGAAAGTTGAAATTTTGAGGACTTTTTCCTAATGATTCAATGTAAAAAATACTAAAAACTCAAAGCGATTAAGTTATTATTAATGGAGTTACGATTTTATTGAAAATAATGATGTTTTGTAAAGTAAGACTTTACAAACAATTTTTTCACTCAAAAACTAAAGTAAGTGGAAAGTTGAAATTTTAAGGACTTTTTCCTAATGATTCAATGCAAAAAATACTAAAAATTCAAAGCGATTGAGCTATTATTGATGGAGTTACGATTTTATTGAAAATAATGATGTTTTGTAAAGTAAGACTTTACAAACAATTTTTTCACTCAAAAACTAAAGTAAGTGGAAAGTTGAAATTTTAAGGACTTTTTCCTAATGATTCAATGTAAAAAATACTAAAAACTCAAAGCGATTGAGTTATTATTGATGAAGTTACGAGTAGGTATGTCGGTACTGGCAAATTTTGGTACTGGTGAGCCTATTAATTTATACAATGCCTTTAAAAATGCTTTATTTTATAGAACTTGTCTCTTACTGAAATGTTCTTGTAATTAATAAATGTATCAAAAAAATCTTTGTCTGGGAGAGGTAATTACCCCCTCTACCCCCCCTTTAAACCGCCCTTGCTTTGAAACCTAATTATGTTGATCTGTATCCTCTTAAGATGCTAAAGATGCAACAATGAAGATTTTAAAGAATCTGAAAACTTTGGTTTATCAGGATTTTAGTAGAATCAAGTGTTAAGATTCAAGCCTTTGAAGATGTCAATGAAGTAGAAAAAAAGTTAAATTTCATCAGAAGTTGAAGAGAGTCTGTATTCTAAAATCTTAAAAAAGAGTCTTAAGTCTTCTCCAGAATTGTCAGTCTTGCATGAGTCATTCCAAAGCCTCTAATTTCTTGGTGTACCTATTTAGAAGGGTTTAAACCTTAGAATCTTAAACTTGTCTTAAGAATAGCCTTACATCTTAAATCAGTAGAGTTTGCATTCTAAGACTTTTATACACATAAAGATTGAAAATTGATTATTCTTAAGGCTAAGATTGTCAACAGATGGTTAACTTAAGCATGAAAGGTACAGGCTTGCTCGAGCTTCTCTTATAAATCTAGTTCTACAAATCTATTGAACTTACTTGGAATATTTGCAATGAATTTGTGTTGACCCCCTTGCTTGCACCCTAATAAGTCTAACTGATAAATGCAATGTTCTTGTAAATAAAGTCATAATTATGCTAGAAATTTTAAGAAACTAAACAATATTTTGAACAAAAATTAAAATGTCAGGCTGCATGTCAGCATCTACAAATGTATAGCCTTGTTTTGATTGGGAACCAGTTATTCTAGATTTAGAACCAAAATTTCCAAAATTTAGTTGCTCATTCTAGTCAGGAATTACAAAAACAAAGCAAAGCATATTTATTTTTAGTTTGTATACCTAGCTGATTTTTGTACGATAAATTAAAACACACTGTATATAAAGTATTTCCTAATTATTACTGATAAATCTCTGCTGGAGGCAAGGGGCTCGCCAAGAGGTCACAAGGGTTATCCTCGTTTTATGATAAAGTTGTTTATTGCAAGTTATTCTTCACATTTATGTTCCGCTATAAATAATAGATAATTAAAATATGTAATTTAGTTATCATGTTATCAACCAACACGTGAAGTTCCCAAAATACATTAATATGTCAGGAGATAAATAGTAGAAACACTGGGTGGTTTCTGAACAAAAATCAATACTTTTTCACTTACTCGGTGGATGTCATTATGTAGAACTTGGCGGAAAATTACAATAAGGATTCGAAAATGCCAAGAGACACGTTTCCTTAAGACAATAACGGTGTTTAATTGGAAAATTTACCTATTTAATTTTAAATAATTTATTAATGAGGTTAGAAAGGTTCCGTTCTATTAAGATGTCATTTTTAGCCAATCAGATTCAAGAATTTTGAGTATTGCTGGTTGCCAACATAGTTGTTTCCGTATTTGTTCCGCTATTACTAACGAGAGTACTTAGGTACCAGCTGTGGTACCATAAACTATACAGTACATGTATTATGAAATAAATCGCTCATTTACTTTAGAATTAAGATATTCTTTCCAAAATAGACGCAGTTAAACTATCTATATATTTGTATTCCGCAAATTTAATGTTCGTAATTGACGAAGTTTTCCAAAAAAATTCCATCAATAAATATGAGGTGAAAGCCTTTTCATCATCAAAAAAAATTGCAGCAACTATCAAAACCCCATTGCGAATAAATGCTTCGATGCTCCACTAAGCAAGTGGAGATGAATATTCGTGTGTGCAAAAAACACAAGTAGTTTGTGCAATAAATTCTAGTTGCATAAATTCTATACTTTCTTGCTTTCTTTTTTCTGTGAAGATGCCTCTAAAATCTAATACAAAATTGAAGCAATAAAGTAATGTAATTTATTCTTCATCGACATCTGTGTGTGTAGTGGAAGAATAAAGAAACAACAAATTGTTGAAGGTTAAAGACACGTTCAAGGTGTGAGGAACGTACACGTATGATTAGCGACAGTTTCATCGTCTCTTATTGTGACGTCGGTTATGCATTGTTCTTTTTTGTTGCACCTGCATTGACCTGCAACAATTTAGAATTTCGAGTATCAACTTTTAGATAGATTTTTTTTTTCAAGTCACTTTACCATAGTTTTTGCTTCGAAGGTTCATCGATATCGTGTGCCGAGGACCTTGTACCAAAATAAAATATTAATATTGAAGATAATGTATGAATCATATTGCTAAAATATATTCAATTATAGATTGTTAATATTATTTGTCATCTTGCTAGAAAACATCCAGCTTATATTTATTGCAAATTTTTAATACTTGATTATTGTTTTATGTCATGCGCTTTATGAGTCATGGAAAAATTGCGTTTCTTGTAAATTATAACAAAAAGTGTAATAATTTTGGAGAATATTTGAAAATTCTGAATCTATTTTTAGGACAATATGACTCACACTTCTTCTTTATGATTTCTGGAATCTATGGAGTAAAAAATGATGATGCATATAGTATGTAGCCACAACACAACTTCTTGGAGGAAATCACAAGAAAATGCTTCTGGAGATATTTTGGTTTTAGGAGCTATTAACAGTAGAACAAGTCAAATAGTCAAGAATAGATGCCTAGACTATTCCAGACAAAAAAAGGTTTAAACCTGGTGATCTGAATGGCTACTTATGCATCCTTCAGTCTATAAAACTCTAGTGCCAAAGTAAACCAACAGATCGATAACATCACTGGACTATTGACATTCAATATGAAGTGGACAACACATCATTGTGGTACCTACACAGATGGTTCGAGTCAGTCTGGGAATAGCTCTGGATCAAAATTCAAACTCTCCTTAGCAATGGGTAGAACGCCCATGTCCTTCACGGAACCTCTGGGATACTGGCCGGCGACCTTATAAAAAGTCAATACTCGTGGTACCAACTATGGAATACACAGAAGAAAACTTACAAAAAACCAATGGACGCTGAGGTCCAGCAAAACTCACCTCCGGCTCCATCTGATAGCGAAAAATCTGGAGGCACATCAGTAGGCTTCGAACCTACTAGTGCAAACCCCCAGCCACAAACACCCAAGGCAAATCCCGAAAGAATGAAATGTGCACATTAGAAAATGTAGAAGAAATAAGGAAGGTTTTGTATTTCGTGCAATTTATTAAATCAATTCAGTGCAGAGCGCTTTCGGCCTAGTCCATTATCAGTGCAACCTGCAAGTAAGAGAAAAACTTTCTTCATCTCAACTTTGCTCTAAGAATCAGAGGCGCCGACTTTTGAAAGTCCTCATGGGTGCAGGATAATAACTTTATAATATTGTTTATAGGGGGAGGGAGAAACTCGCCGCAGGCGCCGGCGGAGGCGAATTTTTATAGAGAATAGAGAATAGAGATATTTTCTATATCTCTATTCGTTACGTTCTCTCTATTGATTTCGACAAGACAGAAGAAGACAGCAAGTGCCATAGCGATAGGGATAACGATTTCTATATGTTATAGTCTGGGAGACGACCGCATTTTTCCTACCCCGATCGAGTTATGTGTCGACACTATTATCAATATATAGTATTATGTGCATCTATTAACCTGTATTCCTGCCTGAGAGCAAATGCTGCCGGAAATATCTTTCAACAAATTATTAACAAATTGAAAAAAACGTAACACTACCCCCATCGAGTTATGCCCTAAGTAGGGTATCAGATTGAAGGTCTCGATGTCCCCTATCTAAAAAGTCGATCCTGCCTCCTGAGAACTTGCCGGAAAAGGGTGGCAGGACAGCTTATTGAGGCAAGGGCCCGCGGTCTCTGCTTTGACACCTATCAAGCTTTGTACTAAATGATGTGTCAAATTAAAGGTGTCAATAAGTTGATTTAAGGTCTGTTCGCACAGAAATCACAAACCAGTCAGAGCGAATTTCATTGGTTGGAATCAGTCAGGAAACTAGTTTCAACCAATGAAATTCACTCCTTCTGGTTTGGGATTTCTGTGCGAAGAGACCTTAAATCAACTTATTAATACCTTTAATTTGACACAACATTCAGGGTAAAACTTGATAGGTGTCAAAGCTGAGACCGCGGGCCCTTGCCCCAATAAGCTGCCCTGCCACCCTTTTCCGGCAATTTCTCACGAGGCAGGATCGACTTTTCAGATAGGGGACATCGAGACCTTCAATCTGATACCCTACTTAGGGCATAACTCGATGGGGGTAGTGTTACGTTTTTTTCAATTTGTTAATAATTTGTTGAAAGATATTTCCGGCAGCATTTGCTCTCAGGCAGGAATACAGGTTAATAGATGCACATAATACTATATATTGATAATAGTGTCGACACATAACTCGATCGGGGTAGGAAAAATGCGGTCGTCTCCCTAACTATTACAAAGTTTCAGTCCTGATACTTTCATGTCCTAAAATATGCGTGCGAAAAAGTACTTTTCCGCACGGTCGTAAAAAAATAACCTGCCTTAATCATGCGGAAAGTCACTTTTCCTCATTTAATTGCTACGCACACGCCCTAACTGACGTTTTGGTTTAGTTTAACCGCCTCTGTCAACTGTCCAGACTGTCACTGTCAACCAATGAACTATGCGCACGAGCGCAGGCATTATTGTTGCGATATATCGAAAAGATTATATCGATATATTTTTCGATATATCGAATGTGAAATATCGATTAAAATATATAGATATACTTGAGTAATATTTCAATATTTACAAAACATTGATATATCATTGCTATCCCTACCCACGCGCAAAACCAGCTGTTTTCTCGCGTTCACTTTTTTAAAACGGTTTCGAAACAGGTTTGAAATAGTATATTAGTATATTCTCGCGATGAACTTATGACGTCACGAAATACAATCCAATCCATGTTTTCAAGCCATTTTCTCACGCCGAGAAGTTATGACGTCATTGTGAAACTGTTTTGAACCAGTTTTGAAAAATATTCCAAAACTTTGAGACGCGAGAAGACACCTTAAATTATATGGCATACGACGTAAGCGCCCGTCCCGTTGTGCGTGGGACTGTCCCGATTATTATCGAAGAATAGAGATGGAGACTCGGATGGAGAATACCAACATAAAAGGTGTGTTTCCACAGAAATCACAAACCAGTTAGAGCGTTTTTGATTGGTCCAAATCGCCAACAACCAGTTTCTAGACTATTTTCTACCAATGAAATTCGCTCTGACTGGTTTGTGATTTCTGTGAAAACAGACCTTAAAGGGGTTGTGATCCTAAAAAACGACTTAAGCTACTTGTTCTGTTTTGATTCAAAATAATATGTTTAATCAATCACATTTAACTCTCTTCTTTTCTTGGCTCACTGTGTATCATTATTCATAAATTCAAGTCTAATAGTTTGAGGCCTTTAAAGGAATATCGCGCGTGTGCGGGGAAAAAGGACAAAAAAACTACTTTGGTGCCAGCAAAAATATTGCTTTTAGCCGCGGAGAGAATCAGAACGAACGTCAACCAAACGACATTGTTTTTTCCAAAAACTTTTAATAGAGAACCCGCATTTTATTTTTAATAGTTTACCCGCATAAATTTATAGAGAACCCGCAACTAAGTGTTTAATTTGCCGAGTTTCACGGTTTAGAAACAGAACCAAAAAACGCGTCGACTGGCCAGTCCGGAAAACGTGTGTGTGTGTGAAAAAGGTGTCCGTGGACACCTCTTCATGGAAGCCAGAAGTTTAAGGTAAGGTCTCAAAACCTCCATTTTATTTGCATTTAAAAGATTTGATACAGTCCACTTATCTCACACTGAGCCTTGAAATAGTATTTTTTTTTCATTCTTTCACTTTGAAAAGTCCAAATTTTACTAAAGATCAAGAAAAAAATTCTAAGATCTCTCGTGAAAACCGCAGTCCCATATTCAAAATAGTCTCCGAGAAAATTCCTTGTGAAACCGTACCCTATACTTTGAGTGGTTGCAATTCACTCTAAAAGATAATTGTCTTTTGTTTTGGATAATCCTTACACGTGTTAATACTCTCTCTGATAATTCAGTGTGACGTTACAAACACCTAGTGGTAACTTTAAACTGCCCTAACTCGAAAATGGACCATCGTAGCAAGATGCGGTTCAGATACTTATTCTTAGATTTTTTTTGCACTAAAACTTCCATTTTTGGGCCTTTAAGGGCGGGTATTATAAAACTACTTTGAGAGTTAACTTAAAGTTAACTTCTGAAATTACATGTAATTCAAAAAGTTAACTTCAAGTTAACTGTCAAAGCAGTTTTATAATACCCGCCTTAAGTAATAGAGCATAGAACTGACCACATATAACGAAAGGACAGAATATACTAATACCACTTGTATAATTCTTATACAAAGTTGTGTAAATTTAAATTACATTAATTACATGATACTGATACAACCACACGGAACGGAACGACCATTAAACACGTTTGTGCTTCCACATTCCCCACGAGAGGTCCCATGGGTGCTTCGCACCCATGAGAGGTGCTCATGGGTGCACCTGCCCCAATGCCCCCATGTAGGTAGTCGGCGCCAGTGCTAAGAATAATATTTTAATTATTGAAAAATCTGTAAAGAAAACTGAGAAGTTAGAAAGTTGCTCTATACTTAGTTCGTCAGGT